TCTCGGCTCTCAACACAAACTTTCCGTCCCGCTCGCGCCCTCCTCCGCGCCCGCGCTCGCTCCGGCTCCGCCCGGCTCATTCCGCGCATTCCCGCCGGCCCCCTCCCCACGACCTCCCCTCCCGGCCCCCTCCGGCTCCCTCGGGCCCCGGCCGGAGCGCCCCCCCGAGCTCGGACCAGGTAAGCCCGGTAGCCGCCGGGAGGAGGCCTCGCCGCGGGAGAGGCGGTGGTTGGTTGGCTCGGGATCGCGGGGACATTGGAGGGGGGCTGGGTCCCCGAGCCATTGTCCAGCCCCGAGCCGGAGCCCCGGATCTGGGTGCCGGGAAGTTTAGTGAAGGGGGAGAAATCTCTCCGGGAAGCCCCGCCCACCCCGAGGCGCCGGGACTAGTCGGTCCGGTGGCCGGGAGCCGCGACCGTGTCCCCTGTGTGCCGCCGGCCGCCGCGCAGCCCGGGCCCTGTCGCGGGGACTCGCATCCGGGGCGCGCGGGCCCCGGCCCCGCCGCCCTTTGGACTCCGGAGCCCGCGGACCGGCTCCGCTCAGGCCTCGGCCCTGCCTCGCTCGCGCGGCCGCTCCTTCGCGGCCCAGGCCGTCGGCTGCTGGTGGACGGCGTCGGGGCGCAGAGCTGCCGCCCGCCGTGCGCCAGGAGTCCCTCCAGCCCAGAGCCGCGTCGGGCGGGGTCCGAGTCCCATCCCAAGCTATGTGTGCGCAGCTCCGAGGGTGCTGGACTTGGGGCCTCGGCCGCGCTTTGGGGATACTTGTTTAGACCCTGCAGGGTGTGAGGGTGGCAGGGCTCTCCACCCCTTCCCACCTCGTCCCCGTCTCTTCAGTCGTGTCCTTTATTCCTCCTTGGGAAGGGAGATCTGGGCGCTAGCCTGGGTCTGTTTTCCAGCCCAACTAAGCCCTGAAGTGGTGTCATTGAGACCCCTCTCTGTCACTTTTCCTGGGAGAGGCCCTGTCCAGGCCCAAGACGCCTCAGGCAAGAGGGAATGAGGCCTTGGGGGAGACTGGTCTCTTTTCCTATCTCCCCTCCTCCAGGTAGGGGCAGAGCTGGGTCAGGCTTGGACTTGTAGCCCACAGAGGATGCGGGTGAAGCCAGCCAAAGCTCAGAGGGGCCGGTGGCTGTGGTGGCCCTGTGTATCGGCTCTCCTAGGGCCTAGTTCGGTGTCCATTTGTCCCACCTGGGTACTGAGGGGTCAGACACCTCTATGGTCAGGATGCTGGGGACAGCCTGTGGCCAGGAGGGAAACTGAACTTGCAGTAGGCTGGGCAGTGGAGGGTTGTGGCTTCCTTCTGGAGTATCCCTCCACAAGGAGTGTCCCATTGCTGACGCGATTTGTGGACATTGGAGCCGCTACGGGCTCTGTGGACAGTGCTTCTGGGGTGTGCTGTGTGGTGCTGGGGACTTGAGGACCCTGGGTATCACTCCTCAGAGAGGGGCTAGGGACTGGCTGGAGTCTCAGGCCTTTGGGCACTTCTCCCCACCCCCACCCGCCTGGGAACCATAATTAATGCTCATTAGTGCTTTGGGAACTGGGAAATGGCTGAGCAGAATGGTCAGTGGCTGGTGGAAGAGAGCTTTGAGCATGTGTTCTGTGTGCACATGCGTTTGCCTGTGTGTGTGAGCCCACACCTTCCCACACTCGGTTTTGCACACTTTAACACTTGCCCCAGTTGGGGGAAATGCTAAAACCAGGGAGAGGGCTCCACAGTGGAGGCTGAGGAAGCAAGGCATTGACCCCAGCTTTCCTCCTCAGCTTCAGAGAATGGAGGGGCCTCGCTCTCTTGCAAATAGCTTCTCTGCTGCAGATGCCTTTTCTCCTCGCCTTCCTAGGACTGGCACCTTCTGGCCCAGAACCTGAACCCAGTGGGGAAGGGGATGGGGGGACCTGGAAAGATGCAAGGAAAGATGCCAGGACAAACCAGGGGTTGTGAGGAGTCACCCCACAAGGTGAGCACAGCGGAAAAGGATAGGGCAAAGTGCTCTTGGAAGGCAGTTTCCCCTACTCCCAGAATGTCCTGGGTGCCCACTCAGCACAGTGTGCCCCACTCCTTGTTCTGGTCTGTAGAGGTGCAGTGAGGTGATGCCAGGCAGCAGGGAGGTGGGAGCCACGGGAGCCCTTGCCCTAGGAGCTCCTAGCCTCTTGTCCTCACACTGACCGACTGCTGGGCAACCCTAGGGTCAAGGCAACAGCCTCTCTGACTAGAGCTGCAGGTCACATTCGGCCCTGTCCCCAAGGTCTTTCCCTTCTCGCATGACAGCGGGAAGAGAGGACACTGCCTGTACCCTTGAAAGACCTGAACAGCCCGAGAATTCACCCCTGCAGGTCCCCAAAGCCTCACCCTTGGGGTTTCCTAGAGTGCTGATTGTTTCCTGTGCTCCCTGCCAGGCCCAGAGGACAGGAAGTGAGGGAAGCAGGCGTTCAGCTGTGTGTGGCTGTGGGTGAGCACACTGGATGTGTGTGAGGCTGGGGTGAGGCAGTGTGTGCAGGTAGACCGTGTGCATGGAGCCCTCTGTGCATGGGACCGCTTGTGAGGCTGTGTGCAGGTATGAGAAGCCCTCTGTGTCTGTGACCTCCCTGGGTGTGAGGGCAGCAGAGGATCCATGGAGGCTTTTATGTGTGTCCTCCTGGGTGTGTTTGGGAGAAACTGTGTGGTGGCATTCTGTGTGAGCATCTCACGGGTCGTGCCTGCGAAGGCAACTTTTGCTCGAGCACTCGTACAGACCTGCAGACGGCATTGCTTTGTGCAAAGGACACTGCGATTGTGTAACACTGTGCATCAGGCAGGACAAGTGACATCGTGTAACACATGGTGCTGTGGTATGACAACTTGTGTATGTGTTGCAAATCAATCTGTGAGGTGGCTTCAGGTCTGACTGTATGACACCAGGTGTGAGTAAAGCACAGGGCTGTGACAGTGTGACGTGTGTCAGGGCATGGTGGGCAGCTGTGTGAGTGCTGTGTGCAGGTGATGACAAGCCTGAGAAGGTTGCCCCGTGTGTGTGTGTGTGTGTGTGTGTGTGTACGTGTGTACGTGTGTACGCGCGCACGGAGGCGCACAAGTGCTCAAAAAACTGTGGGTGTGACTGAGACTGCTCCGTGGGTGGTCACTGTATCAGCCTGTGTGGGTGACATCCTCACCGAGTGTGCCAGACAGGGTGTGGGACACTGCGATGCAGAGCATGGCTGGGACCCAGTGCAGGGCATCTATGTGGGCAGTCACGGAAAGGCTAGTATTAAAAACTGAGAGACTGCACACAGCCTCACACAGAAGACTGGGTCAAGTGGCAAGTTTTATATCATGTAGATTTTACCACAATACAATTAAGAACAAAAAACACCTCTAGGGAAGAAGCCAGGTGTGGTGGCACACGCCTGGGATCGCAGCATTCTGGAGGCTGAGGCAGGAAGATCAAAAGTTTGAGGCCAGCCTGGGTTATGTGTTATGTTGCATAGGGAGTTCAAGGCCTGCCTGGCTCTATAGGAGACCCTACCTTGAAACAAACGAATGCATAAATAAAATGTTGAAAAAAAAAAAGAAAAAGCCAGGCAAAAGAGAGGTGTGGGTAACCGCAGAACAATATCTGTGACCTCATGTGAGACAAGGCCGGGTGCAGGAGAGGCACAGAGGAAACTTGTTTGTAGAGACACTGTGACCTATGGGATGGGCAGGAGTGTGAGTGACTGGTGGCAGCCGTGTGGGTGACTCTGGGGGCCTGTGGGAACCATCGATGAAGCCCATCAACATGTTAATTAAGAACTGAAGGCCCCCAGCTGTCCCCCACTGGATACTCTGCTTCCCTCCCTGGGAACCTGGGTCAGAGGAGAGATGACAGTTCTGGAGAGAAGGCCTGACCCCTTTCCCCCTGACCCTTTACCCGGAGCTGCTCAGGGAGGGGCAGCTGCCATAAGGTTTGGGTGAGGGGAGTCCCGCCCCCATGGCTTCTTGAGCTGCACTTGCCCCAAGTGGTATAGATGGAGGAGGGGCTGAATCTGATGCCCAAATTGGAAGCACGTTAATGAGCTGAGAGGGAGGCCCCCCCACACCCTAGGGGGCTCTGCAAATTGTTTCCTCCTGTAGAAATCTGTCCCCCTCCCAGAAGATCCTCCCTCCAAAGCCTGGCAGGGTGTGGCCTCTTGGCAGGGTCCCCTGGGGTCCTTGGGCTGGAGGTGGGGGAGACGCACACTATCCCCACCCCCTTGCCGAGCCCAGACTGGTCGACAGAGCACAGCCGCTTCTGGGGTGGGAGCCTGTGGCAGCTGGAGAACAGCTGGCTGTGGTAGGGCTGAGTGAGGAAGGCTGAGGGGGTGGGGAGGCCTCAGGCCCCTTCTTGCCCCATGCTTTATACCCCAGGCTCAGCAGCCCAGGGCAGAGGTGGGGACTCCCAGGGACCATGGGGTTCACATCCTTCTGCCACCTCGAGGGGTGCTGGGGTCTCTGCAAGGGAGGGTGGCAGCTGCCTGCTGGGCCCAGAAAGGGCCCCGTTCAGCTCTGGCTTCCCATGAGGCAGGGGAGGTGCCCACCTGCCAATGCACTTTGTTCCATCTGTGCCCCCACCAGGGTGGCAGCCCAGGGGAAACCCACACTTCAGGCTGGTGATGAGAGCCATGGGGCCGGGTGGTCTGGAGTCCAGGCAGGGGCTGAGGCTCTGCCCCATCCCTGGAGCTGTCCAGCCAGTTCTTCCAGCAGAGCTGGCTGAGGGTGGGGAGTGGGCGGCAAGAAACCCCTTATCTCTCTGGGGCTCAGCACCTGCTCTCCCAGCCTTACAAGCCCCCCTACTCACACCATCCCTGTCACCACCCTTGGCACTTGTGACCCAGAAGCTGAGGGCAGGGGAGCAGGACGGAGGTGCAGTGGGTCCGAAATGGGTGGGTGTGCGGCTGTGGCAGCAGAGCAGGGACCCACGCTGCCTCCTGGGGTCTCTCCATCCTCATCCCTGGGTCTCCTCCTGGTCTGCCACGCTGCTGCTGCCTGTGTTGTCCCTTCTCCCCTCCTTGTCTCCCACCATTACCCCGGTGCTGCGGGTGTCGTCTTTGCTTCGTCTTTGCTTCTAGGTCTCCATGTCTTTGCTGGTCTGGACCCGTCTTTGCCTGCCGCCCACTTCGCTGTCCACTTCTCTGCAGTCCCTTCTGTCCACCTGACCCTCTGGCTTCCTGTCTGTGTCTATCCTCAAAGCTCCTTCGCGGGCTTTTTCTTTCTTTCCTCCTGGGTCTTGTTGCTCCTGCCGTGGCCGCATATGTCTTGGGCCGGGACTCCTGTCTGGCTGCCTCCCTCTCCCCATCCTTCGTCCCTTCCCCTCCCGTCTGGCTCACCCTCTGTCCCTTGGCCCCACTGGGTGGCTCAGCGCAGGGAGGTAGGTGTGCTCCAAGCCTCCTGACCCATTCAGCCACTAGCACCATCTGGATTTCTCATGGAGCCTGCCTGTCCAGGGGTTGGGGGCTGGCAGGGTGGTCACTCTGGGAGACCAGCAGCTCCTCCACCCCTGCTGAGTGCTGCCCTCAGGCAACTGCGATCACCACGTGGGAGCCAGGCTTGGGGACAAATGCAGCGCTGTTTGGGGGGAGCCACCTGTAGGCCTTTGAGTGGGCACCTCTGTGCTCAAGGGGATTCCTGGAGAGCCCGTGGTGCGGGTGCCCGGAAGCCAGCAAGCGGGCAGGCTGTCACTCTCCCGCGCCTGGACTTGTGGTCCTGGGGGGTCCCCTCCCCCTCCCCTGCCGTCCCTTCCCCCTCCGCAGCTGGCTGCCCGGCCCGCCCGTCTGTCCGGGCTGCTCGCTCCCTTCACCATATTTGGCCACAGCTCTCCCGCGGGGGGCGGGGCGGGGCTGACATCACCCGGCAGGGGGGCCGGGCTGCGAGGGGCTTGGAGGACTTGGGGAGTCCGCACAGTGCTTTGGAGGTCTGGGCTGCTAGGGGACCCCGGGGCCCACGCAGGCCAGGTGCTCTGAGGGAGGCCGGGAGAATGGCAGGTTAAGTGGGTTAAGGGTGCTTGGTGAAGCCCTGGCGGCCTGCTTCTTCTGACAGCCCCCAGCGCACCCCATTTCTATTCCAAGCAATCACTTGGGATGGGCTCAGGCCGGCAGGCGCCACAGGCAAGGGTGGAAAGCAGCATGGGGTCCTTGAAGAAGCCACAACCATGCCAGTGGAGGGGACCCCGGCAGCTGGAGCAGACTTGGCTGGAGCAGACTGGGGGTGCCCTCTTGGGAGCAGGGCCTCCTTGTTTAGCCCAGGGTGCCCAGCTCCCTCCGATGGCTTCCTTGGTTCTGCCGCTGAGCCACAGACCCAAGTTCAGGACCACCCTTAGTCCTACTTGCTGTGTCTTTGGGCAAGTTGTTTAATGGCCTGTGTTCCTTGAGGTCCTCATTCGTAAAGTAGGCCGACCGATAGTGTTCATGGGCTCCTTGTGAAGAGTTTGTTTGTTGAGAGACACTCCCTGCATAGTTCAGGCTGCCCTTGAATTCATGTGGCCAAAGCTGGCTTCAAACTCAAGCAATCCTCCTGCCTCAGCATCTGGAGTGCTGGGATGACTGATGTGTGATCACTCCCCGCTACGGAGGATTAAATGAATGTGTGTAAAATGTAGATCCTTCCCGGCATTGGGCAGTGTGGTCATTAGCAGTAGCATTGTCCCTGACCCCCTGCTCCGTTACTGATGCCCTCAGGACTCTGCAGACAGACAGGGGTTCCCAGGGAGAAGCCCCCACTTAGAAGACCTGGGGCTCACGCCCCCTCCATCCACGGGGTCCCCACCTGTCCACCCATTCCCTGCATTTCCAGCTTGGGGGAGGGGGGCTCACTGGGCGTAGTCTAGACTGACAGCCTGACCGGGCAGAGCAGGGACCAGAGTGTGCCGAGCCCTGGCCTGTGTAGCGTGGGCCACGCCAGGGAGGCTGTGGGTGGTTTATGGGCTACAGTGGGGCCTCTGAGGTGTGGGGCCGGAAGTGGGTGCCGGCCACTGCCCTGAGGGTTGAGCATGGCCATGGCTGGGCCATTGCTTGATTGCTAGGCAGGTGGGGCCATCCTGGGCACGCTGCAATGGTGCAGGGGCAGAAGGAGGGGTTCCCAGGGGTCCCTGCGTGGAGATCTGGACCTCACTGGTGGCTGAGTGCTGAGGGCCCCTCCAAGAGCGCAGAATCACTGGGCCCAGCCTTGTACTCCTTTCTCTACTTGTGCTGGTGGCACTGTGTGACCCGTGGGCCTCAGTTTATCTCATCTGAATGGTGGGCATCACTTTTGCCGTCCCTACTTTGTGTGGTGAGGGCCAATGAAGCGGGTGCTTTCTAACATGTGCTGTGCAGATACATGGCCTTGGGGTCCTTGCGGCTGCTCATGGTCTCTGCGGCTTTTTGCGTGTCAGGAGCTGGGTCCGGGCAGGCCCTTAACTCATTTTACAGCATGGGGGCTCAGAGAGTTAAGTGACTCAACCAGGGTCACACAGCTCTGGTTTTCTGTACCCTACTCCCAGGTCACCCAGGCAGTGGGAATTAAGGTCCAGAGGCAGTAGTGAGTGGTAGGAACCCTGGCCTAACCCCCTGCCTCTGTCCCCAGGCTCAGGCTGCCCCGTGGGCTCAGGCCCAGAGCCCAGAGCAACCAGCACAATAGCGTCCAACAGCTGGAGCGCCACTGGCAGCCCCGGGGAGGCCCGGGAGGATGGGCCCGAGGGCCTGGACAAGGGGCTGGACAACGACGCGGAGGGCGTGTGGAGCCCGGACATCGAGCAGAGCTTCCAGGAGGCCCTGGCCATCTACCCGCCCTGTGGCCGGCGCAAGATCATCCTGTCGGACGAGGGCAAGATGTACGGTGCGTGAGGAGGATGCCCTGCCCTCCCCTGCCCCTGTCCAGCCAGTTGGGTGACGTCCTGGCCTCTAGCCAGCACGGGCGAGTCCAGGCGTGTGAGGCCGGGTCGGGGCTGCCTCACAAACAAGCTGGGCGGCCCGTACCTCTCACCCCGCCTGGCCTGGCCTGGGCCTGGAGGTTTCGGGGTGACTCAGTGGGCCCAGGAAACTGGGTCAATGCTGTGTGCTGCAGGCCAGGCCCGGAGGGTCTCTGCCCCCCAGGCCATGGGACGAACTCCTGGGCTGAAGCCTGGAGTGCAGGCCCCAGTGTGGTGCCCTCCAGGGCCTGCCCACAGCCAGAGAAACCCTAGAAGGACACAGGGACTTGTCCTGTTGTCCCCTAGACCCACCCCTGCTCCTTTGTTTTCTTTGACGCTCTGTGCCATGGTGTCCAACCCCAGAAGGGACGGTCCCCTGCCGTGCAGTGGAGAGAAGGTCCCCCAGCTGCATGTGGTATAATGTGACTTCTCTGGGCCTGGTCATGCCAGCCCCAGTCCTGGCACTCAGTGACAGCCTGTGGCCTGCCCCTGTAGGGCCTGCCAGGCCCATATGTCACCTGTCCTCAGCACCCGGCCCTCTCCTCCGCAGGGCAGGGACCACTGTCCCTGGTGCTCCCACGCAGCTGGGGCAGCCCCACTGGGTATTTTTAGATGGGGCAGGAAGGGAGGGACAGTGGGCCCCAGCTCTGTCACTAAAGAGGCATCTGGAGAATGTGGCTGTTCTGGGAGGCCAGGGGGTTGTGGGGACCTGAGGGCGCATATACCTGGCCATGTGTCCCCAAGCCCCCCAGCAGGCCTGGACCCCAGAAGGGCCGTGTGAGGAGTAGGCTCCACTCTTACTGGGCAGGCTACATGGCAGCTAGGAACACGGGGCGCAGGCAGAAGGACAGTGACACAGGAACAGTGGAGGCTAGGTGCCTGCTTCCCCCACACACATATTGCCTTCTCTCTTTGTCCTGTCCATCCGTCCATCCATCCTCCTTCACCACCAGAGGGAAGGGACTCGCCCAGATCACTTGTGGACCTGCATGGGTCCACATGCTGATGAGTCTGCCCATTCTGGGTGGCCCAGGAAGGAAGCACCACAGGGGCTGCTGGTGCCCGCCTCAGCTGCCTGTCTTCCCCTCCGCAGCCCCATGTCTCCAAGCAGCACCCTCAGGCCCTAGAGGCCGTGGGGGAGCAGTGTGCGGAGCTGGGCCGCCCCTGACTTTCCCTCACCTGCTCTATAGGTCGGAATGAGCTCATTGCCCGCTATATCAAACTGAGGACTGGGAAGACTCGGACAAGGAAACAGGTAGGAGCCGGTGTGTGCTGCGAGCGGCCATCCCCTCCTTCCTGCCCTGAGTGTCTGCTCACAGAAAGGGAGACGATGGAGCGCAGCGGAGTAGTGCAGCTGAGATGGGACCTGTGAAGGGCACTGCCAGGCAGACATGGGTGTGGTGCTGCAGGCCTGCATCCCCGGTGCTCTGGAAGCTGAGGCAGGAGGGTCGCAAGTTTGGGCAACATACCAACTTAGTGAGACCTTGTCTCAGAATGAATGAAAGAGGGCTGAGTATAGCTCAGCACAGAGCATCTGGGTTCAATCCCAATCCAAAAGTAAACGCCACCTGTAATGCCTCCCTGTTGACAAAATGCTAAATACTAAGTCGATAGGAAACTGCCTTTGACTTTCAGCTATCCCAGAGTTAGCCGCCTGGAGATGTCTGTCCAGGCCCTGACCTATGAGAATAACTTGATGGTGCAGTAGGTGGGGCCTGGGTTCAAATCCCAGCTCCAGAATCTGGCTGTGTGACCTTAAATAAGTTGTGTAACCTCTGTGTCTCAGTTTCGTCATGTGTAAGTCAGAGATCACATTTAAACCTACTACTTAAAACTGTTGTAAAATCAAATAAACTGGGCGTGGTGGTGCACACCTGTCATCCAGTACTTTGGAGGCTGAGGCAGGAGGATTGCCTGGGCTGCATAGTGAGATACTATCTCAGAGAGAGAGAGAGAGAGAGAGAGAGAGAGAGAGAGAGAGAGAGAAGGAGGGACAGAGGGAGGGAGGGGGGAGAGAGAGAGAAAGACAGACAGACAGACAGACAAAAAAGAAAGAAGGGCCGGCCAGATAGCTCAGCGAATGAAAGCGCCTGCTTAGGCCGGGCACAGAGGCCAGGGTTTGATGCCCCATGAGCCATGCCAGCCCCACCCTCCAGGGCACACTGAGACAGCGATTGAGACTAGAGGTGGTGGCACGCGTCTATAATCCCAGCACTTGGGAGGCTGAAAACAGGAGAATCACTACAAGTCCAATCTACAGAGTGAGACCCTGTAGACCCTATAGACCTTGTCCTAAATACACTGAGAGAAAGAAAGTAAGTAAGTGCAGATGAGCCGGTGAAGCCATTTATGTAGAGAGCGTCAGGTAGAACCTGGGTCCCAGGTATGAGTACTCTCTGGGTACCAAGTAATTGGTAGTTGTGCTGGACATGCGTCCCCACCTGTGTACTAAGTAAGTGGCTTCAGGGCTCCCAATTGTAACTGTCAGGCTGTGATACAAAATTAAAAAAGAAACTATCTTTGGGGGTAAACCCAGCTTGCTGCAGAAGCCCACAGCTAGGGCGATCCAACAACAGGGTGCTGCCTCTGGCTCAAGGCCAAAGGTCAGCCACTCATGACTGGCTTGGGCCGCAGGGAGGAGGCTGCTGGAGAAGAAGATGGCCTGGGGCAGGTGCCCCGTGCCCCGTCTGCCGCAACTGTGGGGCAGGGCCCACAGGACCAGGCAGGGACCCTCAGGCCGGCAGGAGGCTGGGGCAGTGTTGCTGGGCAGCTCCTGGCTAGCGTGAGCCTCAGCCAGGCCCTGCAGTGCACCTTAGAGAAAGCTGTTTGCTCGGAGCACACCAGTGACAGAAGTCACCCCTTCTTGGACTTGCCCTTCCTCTGGACCGGGGCACATAGCTTGGCCAGCAGAACCAGGGCTGGATTTCACTTCTCCCTGTACCTTCTGGGCCAGATGCCTTGTATAGTGAGCAGCTTACACAACTGAACATGGTGGCTTTGGAAGCCACTGTGGACTCTTAATCCATATAAGGCCAAGTAGAGGGCAAAAGTGGTAGTGCCAAGAGGGGCTACCCCCAGGGTCATCCCGTCTCCGTTGGTCCCCACCGCCCGTGGCTGTGCCTCCTCACTGTCTGTTTTCCTCTCTGGCGGGGCGCGGGGCGGCCCCTAGGTGTCCAGCCACATACAGGTTCTAGCTCGGAAGAAGGTGCGCGAGTACCAGGTTGGCATCAAGGTATGTTGGGCGCCTGCCTCCTGGGCGCCCCCGCTGCTCTCTGCACGGCTCGGGCCTCTGCCTCGGCTCCTCCAGCCGCCTGTGCCTCTTCCAGCTAGACCTGTCCTCTCCTCCTGTTCTTTCTGTCTCTCTCTCTCTCTCTCCAGGTCTCTAGCCACTTGCAGGTTCTAGCCAGGCGGAAATCTCGGGAGATTCAGTCCAAGCTGAAGGTAGGGGCTCCTTGCACCCGGCCAGCCCGCCCCATGCCCTCAGGCCCAGGCCTGGGGGGTCTCAGAGGCGCTGGTGCCGTAGGAACACTGGGTTCCTGGCCCCACAGTGGGCGACACAGAACTGTGTGCAGCCCATGCCCCTTTCTTTCCGCTTTCCTTCGCCTCCTTCTTCCTGCTGCTTGCTGCTTGCTACTTGCATGAGGCATCGGGGACAGGAGGATGCCTGGGTGTCACCTGCCAAGGCTGTACAGGTGGTCATGCTGTCCCCGGCCATCCACCCTGTGCTGTGGATCCGAGTCAGAGTCCCATGGTGCCTGTGTGCTGTCTCCTGCCCTAGCAGCCCAGGCCTGGGCGTCCCACTGGCAGGCATGCCTGGGCAGGGGTCTCAGGAGCTGAGAGCGGGTGCGCGGGGTGCCCAGCCCTCCATATCTCTTCTAACCCATCCTCCCCTTCCTCCACAGGCCATGAACCTGGTAAGTAGCACTGTCCTCCTGGGATAGGTGGCACTGGGATGGTTTAGCACATGCATGCGCACATGCACACTATTCAAAAGCATTTGTTTTGTTTTTTAATATATTTGGTACGGGGTCTCACTACACAGCTCAGACTCATAGTGATCCTCTTGTTTTCAGCCACCCCAGAGCTGGGATTACAGGCATTCGCCACCATGCCCCACCCCTGGGGGTGGGGCCAGTGTGGCATGCAGTGCCAGGAATTGTTTCGGTGTTTTGAGACAGGATCTCAATATGTAGTCCAGACTGGCCTCAAACTCACAGCCATTCTCCTGCCTCAGCCTCTCAGTGCCTGGCTGAAAGCAGCTTTTGTGAAAAGTGAGGTACAGTCACTTGCCAGCATTCATGTGGTCCCCATGCCGGAGGCTCAGGCCTGCAGCGCTGGTGGGCAGGAGGTTGAGCATCTATCCCACACTGAGAGGGGAAATGCGCTGATGAGTACAGCTGGCCTCTTTTGGGTCCAGCTGAGCTCAGAACAGAAATATTTGAAAATATTGTGCCTGAATTGAACGTGGATTATTTTTTCTGTCATTCCCCCCACAACCCAATATAAAAAATGATGTATTCTGGGCTGGTGAGATAGCTCAGCAGACTAAGCACCTGCTTAAGCAAGTGCAGGGACCAGGGTTCAATCCCCTGTACCACATGCCACACCAGCCCTGCCTCTGGGAGCTCTGAGCAGGCGACCAAGACCGGGAGTGATGGCGCACACCTGTAATCCCAGGGCTGGGGAGGCTGAGAACAGGAGGATCACAAGTCCAAGCCACGTAGTGAGACCCTGTACCAAATACATTTTTTAAAAAAGATATATGCCAGGCATGGTGACACACATCTCTAGTCCCAGGTACTGGGGAGGCTGAGGCAGGAGGATCACTTTATCCCAGTAGTTTAGGACCAGCCTGGGTAGCACAGTGAGAACTGGGGTCAAAACACACCCAAGGGGTGAGCAAGATAGCTCAGAGGACTAAAGCGCCTTCTTAGGCAAGCTTAGGCAAAGCGAAGGGACTGCGGTTCGATCCCCAATACCACATGCCTTGCCTGCCCTGCTCCCACGGTGGGCTAAGCTGGCCAGAGTCCTGGCTAGTGGTGTCCACCTGTAATCCCAATGCTGGGGAGGCTGAAAACAGAATCACTGTGAGACCCTGTAACAACCAAATACGTTTAAAAAAAAAAAAAAATCAAAATTACTGTTAAGGGGAACTACCCACTCGGGCCCCCCTCCTGTCCCTCTTTTGGAAAGGAGCTTTCTTTCTCTCAATAAATATATTCTGTTCATAAAAAAAAAAAAATACTGTTAACATTGTAATTAAGTGGAGAATGTGTACATAGGGCCTGTGCAAATGCACTTTATACAAGGGATGCACGTACTGTGTTCTGGCCACCAGGGATCCCATAGAGATCAGAGACACTGGGCAGAGTGAACCGGTCACTTTTACTGTGGGTCTTGGCCGGGGGTGAGGACACAGGCTGGCCCTGAAGATAGAGGCTGTCCTGAGCCCCTGCGGAGCCAGACCCCAAGGGCCTGACTCGGCGGCCTTCACGTCCCCAGGACCAGGTCTCCAAGGACAAGGCCCTCCAGAGCATGGCGTCCATGTCCTCAGCCCAGATTGTGTCCGCCAGTGTCCTGCAGAACAAGTTCAGCCCGCCTTCACCGCTGCCGCAGGCCGTCTTCTCTGCATCCTCCAGGGTAGGGCCTGGCCCGAGGGGGTGAGGGCGGGTAGGGCGGGACAGGGGTCCTGAGGGTGTTTGTGCTCTTGGCAGTTTTGGAGCAGCGCCCCGCTCCTGGGACAGCAGCCTGGACCCTCTCAAGAGTGAGTACCTGCGAGCTCCCCATCCTTGTGTACCCTGGGACCCCAGCCGCACTGCAGAGGCTAAGAGAGGCAGGGAGGGAGCTTGGCCCGGGGGTCCCTGCACCCCTGGGGGGCCATTCCCATGGCTCTTGTCCCCCAGCCACCTGGCCTGGCCTTCAGTTTCCCTGACTGTAATAAACAGCACCCCTGGTGCCCTAAAGCCAGGCTCCCAAGTTAAGCATGAAGGATGCATGGAGGCTGCAGGTGACTTCCTGCGGGCCCGCGACCCCTAACCAGCTGTGCTCATCTGCAGCATCAAGCCCTTCGCACAGCCAGCCTACCCCGTCCAGCCGCCCCTGCCGCCGACACTCAACAGTAGGTGTCCCCTCTGCTGGGGGCTGGGGGGGTGGCAGCCGCAGGGGTAGGACGCACAGGATGATTCCCAGCATTAGCAGATGCTAGCCAGTACTCAGCTGAGCACGCACCGCACCACCAGGCTATGGCATTGATGTATGGATTGAAAGCTCCCCGGAGACAGATACCAAAGTCGGAGCAGGGCTTCACCCCCTCTAGGTGGTGGGATTCTGGGTATGCATAGTTTTCCCTTTTCTGTGTTTGTGGAGCACATGTTAATAGAGACCCAAGGGACACTGGTGCTGCCATTTCCTACTTGGTCCCCCTACTTGGCTGTGCAGGTTGTACGCTGTACAAACATACCTGGTAGGCAAGTCAAAATCCAGCCCACATCCGTGCTCCAAGACAGTCCTTGTCAAGTTGGCACCGAGGCTGTGGGCGGACAGGGCCATGTTGTGGGGACCCATCTCGCCCTCCCAGGTTATGAGCCCCTGGCCCCGCTCCCCCCAGCCACTGCCTCCGTGCCGGCGTGGCAGGACCGAACCATCGCCTCCTCCCGCCTGCGGCTCCTTGAGTACTCAGCCTTCATGGAGGTGCAGCGAGACCCTGACACGGTAACGTGCTGTGGCGGGGCTGGCCCTCAGGCTGGGCAACCATGTCCCTCACCCTGACCCCGCCTGGCCCTCCCCACAGTACAGCAAACACCTGTTCGTGCACATTGGCCAGACCAACCCCGCCTTCTCCGACCCACCGCTGGAGGCAGTAGATGTGCGCCAGATCTATGACAAGTTTCCCGAGAAGAAGGGTGGGCTGAAGGAGCTCTACGAGAAGGGGCCCCCCAATGCCTTCTTCCTCGTCAAGTTCTGGGTGAGCCCTTGCTCATCACAGTACTCGCTCAAGCACCCAGCCAGCCCCAGGCTGACACCAACACCCCCTGTCCACCCAGGCCGACCTCAACAGCACTATCCAGGAGGGGCCTGGCGCCTTCTATGGGGTCAGCTCCCAGTACAGCTCTGCCGACAGCATGACCATCAGCGTCTCCACCAAGGTGTGCTCCTTTGGCAAGCAGGTGGTGGAGAAGGTGGAGGTGAGTGGGGCGCTGTGGCAAGCAGGGGGCTGGGTGGCCTCAGGGCCTGGGCATGGCGGGCCAGTGACTTGGACACCCTCCCTGCTGGCCCCACCAGACAGAGTACGCCCGACTGGAGAATGGCCGCTTCGTGTACCGCATCCACCGCTCACCCATGTGTGAGTACATGATCAACTTCATCCACAAGCTCAAGCACCTGCCTGAGAAGTACATGATGAACAGTGTGCTGGAGAACTTCACCATACTGCAGGTGCATGCCGCACAGGGAGGGGGAGCTGGGGGACAGGGCCCGCCACCGCAGCTGACCCCTCTCTGTCCCCCAGGTGGTCACAAACCGGGACTCCCAGGAGACCCTGCTGGTCATTGCCTTTGTCTTCGAAGTCTCCACCAGTGAGCACGGTGCCCAGCACCATGTCTACAAGCTCGTTAAAGACTAGGGGGCCTGCAGCGCACCCCAAGGACCCAGGACGAGCACCTACCATGCACTTGCCCGGCACCACCAGGGGCCCGGGGTGAGGACCCGCCGCCCCACCCCTGCCGCTGTTCTGCGCTTTGGCTGTGGGGGCAGAGGAGTTCGATGGCAGGCACTACCTGGCTACCACCCAACTCTGTGTGGTGCCCTCAGAGGCAGGGATGGCAGACACCTTCAGGCACTAGTGCTGGCCCCAGACCACAGGGAGTGTGGTGGCAGGGGAGGCAGAGAGGAGGCCGAGGCCGGCAGCTTGCAGGGGACCAGGAGGGTGGAGATAAGGCAGGCTCATCTGGGGCCCAGGTCCCACTACCTCCAGGGCAGGGGAGACTTGCAGGGGCCATACCAGGGCAGAGAGGGGGAGCATAGTGGCTTCCATTGCCCACTGTGGCGGGGCCCCAGTGCCCACCAGAGCTGGCCCCTACAAAAGGGCGCAGGTGGAGCAGAGCCCGGGCTTGTCCCACCTCCAGCCTGGCTGGGCCTCAGGCCCCCACACTAGTACTGGGCTGAAGGCAATACCAGGCCTAGGCTGGCCAGTCCCAGCCACTTCCAGGCACTGGGTCCACATAAGTACTGTGCCCTCCCCCACACCTGCCCACTTCCTGCACCAGCTGCCTGTGGCTTGGGCCACACCTCACCTAGGTTTTATAATGTGTTATATATATATATATATATTTTTGTGTACTTTCTAAATCCGCTGTGATGGGTTAGACTATAAATGTGGCTTGGGGCAGGGCCTAAGACCTGCCCCCTGCTCAAGTAAGAAATTAAAATTATTTGTGGGTAAGTCACAATTTGTGTCAGGCCTCTGAATGCCAAGCTTCCCTCTGCGGCAGCCAAGGCCAGGTACTTCCTGGGCTATCACTGGGTGGGAACTGGGGTGGATGCTGCCCAGCAGGTAGGTAGTGAGGCAGGGTCCCTGTACAGCACTAGAAATCCTGGCTGAACTGGAAAGCAGTAGTTCCATTTTCATATTCTGGACCACTGGCCCAGAGTGCACAAGGCTCCTACAGCCAGGCCCTGGGTATGACTGAATCCCACCCAGCACCCTTCTGCTTGCTCCACTGCCCAAACAGGGACCTCAGACTAGACTTGTCACAGACAAGAGTGTAGGGGCCTAAGTATTTCACTCATTTAGACTTCACTGAGAAACGTGTCAGGGTGTGGCCCGTGGCCCACAGCCCACAGAAAAGTACACTTCACTCTGTGCAGACTCCAGACTCCAAGATGGTAGGACCCAAGACATCCCAACAGCCTGAGAGAGCATCCCTTACCCGAGTGGCCCCAGCCAGCTCTGGCCTTCGCCCTCACCTTAGGGACATGCAGAGCCTGACTGTGGGCACGTCCCCAGCCGCTGAGCACAGGAGCTCCAGCTCAGCCCCACGCAGTGGCAGTGCACCTGCCTGCCTGTGCACTCAGGGAATCCCACTGCTCAGGCTTCCAGTTGTTTCTGACACCATCTGTGAAGCATAAACTTAGCTTTTCACCTGAAGTAGGTCACACATGTGGCACAACTCCAGTCTGAGCTGGTGGGGAGGCTGAGGCAGGCTTGCCTGACCCCTGGAGTATGAGACCAGCCCAAGAAAGTCACACCGTGCTTCCCTAAGACAACTGAAGTAGAGACAGTATCTGCTTACCAAGGTTCAGCAAAGCACATCTGCACCAGGTTAAACCAGCACACATCCCTGCCCCTCCAAATCCAGTTCCAGCACCAGGCCCTGGAGACGGGATCACAGCTTGGGATGCGTGTGTGCATGTGTCCACAGCCATGACATGCACTGCTGCCCCAGAGCAGCAACCGCCTTCAGCACCACTGTACCTGCATGCACACTCCACCTCCCAACACCAACCTGCTCGCAGGTCGGGGCTGTCAAACCCACCAGGGTGGGCCCAACAGCTCAGCGGCTGGGGTTTTGAGACCCTGTGGTGGTGTGGGCCTGCAATCCCAGGACTTGGGAGGCTGTAAACAGGAGAATCACTAGGCGTTCGATCTATAGTGAGACCCTGTAGACCCTGCCCTAAATACAAAAAACCACTAATGATCCTCGACACATTAACAGGTGACACCTTGGTTCAAACTCAAATTTTCTCCCCAAACCTGGGCTGCAAACTAGGCAAGAATTGAACCAAATTCCTCTTCCTAACTGCAACACTAAACTTTTTTTGCAGACCCAGAGATTGAACTCAGGGGAAGCACTTATTCTACTTAACTACCTCCCTAGCCCCCATAACTTTTTTAAAAACATTTAGTGTGGCCAGCTCAGCCCACCAGGGGGCGGGGCTGGCTGGCATGTGGTGCTGGAGGATCGAACCGCGGTCCCTGTGCTTTGCTAAACTTGTTCTAAGTAGGTGCTTTAGACTACTGAGCCATCTCTCCAGCGCCCCCTTAACTATTTTTAAAAATGTATTTAGTGTAGGGTCTCACTACACTTGTAGTGATCCTGTTCTCAGCCTCCCAAGTCTCAAGCACAGTTGTCTCAGCAGTGGCCTGCGCGGCATGCTGGGGATCAAACCCAAGCCCCTGTATCTAAGCACGTGCTTTAATCCACTGAGCTATCTGGCTGGCCCTATTAAATTTTACTCAGTCCTAAATAAATTTTTACTCAGTCCTTGTCCAAGTGTTTATAACCAGAATTGTAGAATCCAGTCCAGAACCAAGGCCCCACACCAATGCCTTCCCTGTGAAGGTCCTGCCACTTGTTCCTGGCTGGGCCAACTCAGCACCCCACTCCCCCACACCTGCCACAGGATTCCCCAAAAGCTGAATGCTGCCTCCTCACCTGTCACACTGTTGTATCCAAGCAGTCAGAGAGAACTGAATGACTTGTGGCAGAGGCTGCCCTCTAGCTGTGGCACCCAAGTACCCATCACCAAAGTGACAAACCACAGCTGCCACCATCCCCAACAGTCACAACTTAGGTCATGACACCCTGCCACCCCAATCACACACAGGGCAGAGGAGTGGTGGCACTGACATTTATTAGGATGTGCCCTAATACAGGCGCTGGGGCTTGCCCATAGTGCTCTTGATATATAGGGCCCGGACATTCTGCCAGTTCTTCTTGAGCAGGGACACCAGGAAGTTGACGGCCAGATGGATGTTGTACACAAGCTCATCATCTGTCATCTTCACGTGACCAACAGCCACAGCCAGACACAGAACCTTCTTCATCTGGAACTTGATTGTGGACTTCACTTCGTCAACTTTGGCCACCATGTTTTCGTTATGGGTCAGCAGAGAAGGGAACTTGCCAGCCTTATTGAGGCCGGGTCCCAGGATTCGTGGGATCTGCTTGATCAGAGACTCAGAGGCCAGAAAGGCATCGTACTTCTTGGCTGCAAACAGCAAACATGGGCACTTAGAATCTTCTGATCTGTAGTCAGACGCGTTATCCATTGTGCCACTGGCCCCGTAACATGGGCACTTAGGAACCAGGGGGAGGGAGGGTACACACAGTGGCCAGGCCAGAAAAAAGAGCTGAGCCAATACAGAAGTGACCTCCAAGGAGCACCAGCTCGAGGGGCTGGGGCTTGTTTTTTTTTTTTAAAGTATATTGGGGACAATTCCAGGGAGAAATGAGCTGCAGCCCCACCTACTTTAAGACAAAATCCTGCTATACTGCCCCGGGGCTGGCCTTGAAACTTGCTACCCTGCCTCAGCCACCTAAGCAGCGGAGTTTACAGGACAGTGTCCTTTTAAGTGGCTACTTCTATTGCCTGGCAAGCACAAGAACCTGAGTTCAATCCCTGGTTCCACAAAAAAAAAAAAAAAAAAAAAAAAAAAAAAAAAAAAAAAAAAAAAAGGGTCCTTTTAAACCCCCGCAAACCCTCGCTTCTTGTTTTTTTTTTTTTTTTTTTGGGGGGGGGGAGAACCAGGGATTTAACACAGGTCCTTGCATTTGCCAGGTAAGCACTTATTCTACTGAGCCATCTCTCCAGTCCCATGCCTTTGGATTCCTAAGTGTCCTGTAACCCAGCTGCCTAAAATGCTACCAACCCACAACCTATGGTTGAGAGCAAGGCACACTCTGGCCCACACTGCCAGAGCTCAGGTCAGACCTCACCCAAGAGCTGGGGCCCTTGGCCATGACCACAGGGCACCTGATGCCTCTAGGAAACACAAATCCCGACTCTAGGCATGAGGCCAGGGAACCTAAAGCTCACCTGGCCTGTCTACCACAAGTTACAGGTTGCCCTCATTACCTTGAGCGAGGTGACCCACAAAAGCTGCACCTGTTGAAAGCAGTATTTGAAGCTTAACAGCCTAGGTTATATGGCAATAATAAGCTTCTCTTCTGGAGGGTTAACCTGTTTGCAGACCAAAAATTAGAGAAAAAGGAGGGCCGCATGGAAAGCCAACATTTTGGCCCTAGCCTTCCAAGGTTAATTAAGACTCAGGACATATGAGAACCTGTACTGTAACATCATGTAACTCGGCAGTGTCCCAAACTTTCTGATCAAGGAGATTATGGGGCCAAAGAGGAAGGTGATCGATGATGTAGAGTGTGCCTAAAGAGAGTCACATGGAGAGAAAACATTCTCTCAGGCTTTCACAGAGAGCACACTGGCCAAGCAATGGCTGACACTGACAAAGGATCTACAAACTGTGGTACAGGGTTTCAGGGTAAATCCTGAGAGGATTTGACTGACCTTGTCAGATACAAAAGTTACATTTCTCCTTATATAGGTCTTGCTTTATCTTGGTCTTAACCATCCAGCAGAAAAGTATAAAAAGTATAAGAAGCCATGGTGTTATGTTGAGCTGTTGGGGACTCAGGTCAACAACTTCTGACATTGCCAGGCAAGTGGAAGACCCAGTACTACTATGGATTTTTTTTTTTTTTTTTTTTTTTTTTGCGCCAAATGCCTTCAGGGCAGGTTTGGCTGGCTTGAGTTGTGGGGATCGAACCCTAGCAACCTGAGCCTGACTGCTTTGTTGAAGCAGCCACTTAAAGAACTGAGCTAAGGGGCAGGCCCCTGACCCAGTATTATTATGGACTACTGGACTATTTTGCTGAATTCGCACACCTATAATATTTAAATGATGGAACTAAACAAAAAAAGGGGATACAGATGAATGTCCATTTTGTATCTGTGTATTCAAAATGGTTAGGATAGATATATAGCTACATTCTCTTAATTCAAGGAACAGAAGGATTTGTTCTAATAGTGTTTATAAATAGAATATCATGACTGCATTTTGTACAATAAACTAGGAAGGCAATATGCAATGTGTTAACTATAGGAACTAACCTACCAATTTGAACCTGTCTCATTGCTATTTCTCAATAAAATTATGGAAAGAAAATAAGAATAAAAGCAGTATTTGATCTCCCACACACCGCCATAACAAGAAAAGGCCAACCTTATTATTTTTCTGTAGTACTAGACATTTGCCACAAGGCTTTTGCATGGAGTTAAAGCCCTAAAAACTCCTTTCGTAAAATTACAATACATCACTCCGGGTAACTTACCACCCATAGCAACCCTTTCCACTCTACTATCTGGTTTGGGATGTGGTCTCTTTAACCCAAGCTAGCCTCAGCCTGCAATCCTCCTGCCTCAGCCTTCCAAGTACTGAAATAACAGGCATGCACACCAAAACCAAAACCAAACTTGCTTTAAAACTCCAAGTAGCTCACATCTGTGCTTCCCAGCACTCTGGGGGGCTCAGGAAGAATGACTCCAAATTCAAGCCAAGCTGTGCAACTCAGTAAAATCAAACTCAAAATGTTTTTTATAAAAAGGAGGGGAGGGGCCGGGGAGATGGCTCAGTGGAATATGCGCTTCCCTGGCAAGCGCAAGGGCCTGAGTTCAATCCCTGGTTCCGCCAAAAAGCCACTGCAGGTTAAGCTTGCCCCAGTCGGCTGCACTCACCCAGCTTTTTAACCAGCTTCTTATTCTTGTTGAGCTTCTTCAGCGCCTCGATGTCCATGTGGGGGATGTCCACGGCCTTGGCCTCGTCGCAGTGCTGCTGGTCCCCCAGGACGCACACGGAGAACTTGGGGCGGGGCGTGGACTTCAGCCTGCGGGGCGGCGGGGCGGCCGGTGAGGCCGGGCGGCGGCGGGGAGGGCGCGGGCCGCGGGCGCCGAGCCTTACCGGGACGTCGTCCCCAGCGCCAGCCTGGCTTCTCAGGCTGGGCGGCGGGCTCGGCCGAGGCCTCCCCACGCCTCCCCTCTTGTTTTAAGACCCAGGGTGGGGGTCCGTGCAGCCGGCCGCGCCAGGCAGGGCAGGGGCCCGGGCCGGGAGCGCGGAGGGCCGCGCGGGGCGGAGCGGTGCCAACCTGACGGTGCCCGAGAAGCGCTTGTCCTTCTGAGGGTCATAGTTCTTCAAGCTGATCTGCAACTCCACAGTCTCTAAAAACCTTGGGGAAGGAGCGACGTTATCGAGCCGCCGCCGCCGCCGCCGGCCTCCCCCCGACTCCCACCCCGGGACGCCCGCTTACTTCCGGCGCTTGCGCTGGTTCCCGTGCAGGACCTCGCGCACCGCCTCGTACAGGGTGTCGCGGGAGACTTTGCTACTGCGAAGGAGAAGCCAGAGCGTTCACAGCCGGCCTGCCGCCGCGCCATCCTTCCCGGCCCCGCGACCTTCGGGGACCGAGGGAGAATGGGACCTAGAACACGGCGGGGAACTGACCCACAGGGACTGATCCAGTGCAAGAAATACCTCTATGGCGTCAAAATCCTCCGTATCACACCTAGAAGCACAGATGAACGCGGATAGCACCCCAAGTTCAACTCACCTCATGGTTCCTTGTGTTGAGGAAACCGGAAAAGAAGTTAGTAGCCTCGCGCATGCGCAGAAATAATGGCCCTACTCTCGCGATAAATTCCCGGTTCCCGCTGACTGTGTCCAGAACCTAGTCTGGGTTCTCAGCCATGAGGAACACTACCAAATGTGGCCGCTGGAGGGAGCCCGTGGGATGCACCGCAAAACCTACGGGGCACTCCAGTCCGAGCCACCGCCTGTGTTGCCCAGCTGCTGCCTAGTTGGCTCTTACTAAGGCCGAGCATAGAGTCTTGATCTCGTGCTGGACCCCGTATTTAACCTCGTGTGAACTTCGTCTTTGCACAATAATCAGGTGGACTGTGTTTTCTGTCATTCCTGAGTTTGTTACCATGAGGCAAGAAGGATTGCCTGGGGCAGCTGCCCTCACCTGAGCAAGAGGTCTTCAGGTGGGCACACTCGTCAGTTTTTTGTTTGTTTTGTTTTTGCGGAACCGGGGATTGAACTCAGGCCCATGTGCTTGCCAGGGAAGCGCTTATTCCACTGAGCCATCTCCCCAGCCCCTAAGACTTTTTTTTCCCCCAGAACTCAGGCCCTTGCGCTTGCCAAAGGAAGCATTTATTCCACTGAGCCATCTCCCCAGCCCCTAAGACTTTTTTTTCCCCCAGAACTCAGGCCCTTGCGCTTGCCAAAGGAAGCATTTATTCCACTGAGCCATCTCTCCAGCCCCTCGTCAGTTCTAAGAACAGCCCGGAGACATTACAACTTTATCCTGAAAATTTGCAGCACTAAAACAGCATCTCCTGCGCAGGACCAGATGTTCCACCTTGGCCACAGCTGTGAGCAGATACCCACCCATCTGCCACCTGAGTCTCTTGTATAAGCCACCCTCACCAGCCCCCTGGCAAGTTGCACTTCGAACCAGAGTCCCCATCCATCTTCCTGGTCAAAGCTTTGCCACTAAAGTCACCTTGCCCCGGTAGCTTGTCTCCTACCTAAGCAGCCTGTCTTGTAAGAGCCAGTGGACCAGGGTGCAGTGCCATGCCTAGGGCGGGCACACGGGGCCACATGTCAGTCACACAGGCTGGGCATAGCACTGTGAAGGTGGCTGACAGCTGCTGACCGTGGCACATGTGCCCTTCAGACTTTGGCCCATCTCCCCCTGCCCTCAACACCGGGCCTTAGCCCTTGGCCTGATCGCCCTCCCCAGCCATCGTGCCATGACAGGGACAGCGATCCCCAGGAAGTGCCTGCCAGCTGACCTGGCCCCACACCCGCATGCTGTAGTAAACTTCTGCTCTCCGTGTGCAGGTGCCCTGGGTGGCACTGGGCTCATTCCTGCCAAATGGGTCCCCCCCCTTCTCAGCCCACAGTAACCCAGGCGAGGCCTGCAGTCCCCTCCGGGCCATCCACCCAAAGCCTTCCTCAGCCCCCCACTCTGATCCCCTGCAGTGGTGGCCGAGCATCTCACCAACCCAACAGTCACCACCCACTGGCCTGTGGTGGGTGGTGCCACACAGTCATGGCCCACGGAATGTGAGTGAATTTCAGGATCAATGTTCTACTGCCTTTCCCTCCCTGGAAAGAAAATACCCTGGTCACTGAGTGGAGAGGAGGGAAGGTGGGGCACACTCTGGGCCAATGGGAAGGCAGATGCTGCTCCCGACAGGAGTCATTGTGCTTCCAGCTGGCTGTGTGTGTGTGGGGTACAGTGGTCCCTCACTTACCATGGAGGTTACATTCCAGACATCCCCATAATAAGTGAAAATCAGTGAAGTAGTGACTTTGTATTTATTTTAGTATTTATTTATATTTTAAGGCTTTATAAAGTCCTCCCCACACTCTTATAAACCTTTCCCACACTTTAAAAAACACTTCTAGGGGCCAGGGAGATGGCTCAGTAGAATAAGAGCTTGCCCAGCAAGCACAAAGGCCTGAGTTCAATCCCTCATCCCTCAAAAACAAAAACAAACAAACACTTCTAATGTTCTTAACCATTTTCTAAACTCATAAACCTATGTAATTTTAACAATATACATATACTGTATGGTACTGCAAAGTCCTGTGATATAGTGAAAAATCTGTGCTAAATAATTAGTATTTTTTGATAACCCATGAAACAGTGAGTCTGTGAGCTAAACCACAAAATAGAGACTACTGTACCAGGGAATCAAACTCAGGACCTTACGCTTGCCAAGCAGGTGCTCATTAAACATGGCAGGAGCCAGGGAGATGGCTCAGTAGAATAAGTGCTTGCCTGGCAAGTGCAAGGGCCTGAGTTCAGTCCCCGGTTCTGCCCCCCACCAAAAATAAATAAATAAATAAAAAATTTAAAAATTAAAAAAAATAAACATGACAGGTAAATTACTCAGGAAGCCTTTGTCCCAGCAATCTGAGCAGTGGTGAGGCCTGAGCTAGGCCTGCAGGCCCTGCATCCTGCCCCTTGGCCCAGCGAGCCCTGCCGTCAGGAGGCCAGGATGGCTCTGTGCCCCTGGCCCAGGGAGGACGTTGAACCTGAGGTCGCCTGGCTCTGCTTTTACCCTGCGGCAAGGGGTCAGGACAAGGTGGCCAGGGCAGAAGTGTCTTTCAGAAGTTGCTGGTGCTATTCCAGAGACCGATGGTCAGCAGCCCAGGCGTCTCAGGGCGGCCTGCAGGGACTTCCGCAGGAAAGTGGCATTGGGCTCCAGGGCCACTGCCAAGCCCAGCCTTTGAGTCTCGGTGATCTGGGGACAAGGAAGAATCTGTCAGGATCTGGCCCTGTCACTCCCCAGGCCTCCACCACAGGCTCTGCTGAAGGCCAGAGAGGAAGCCAGGACTCAAGGACTCAGGAAGGGAGGGGCAGCCCCTGAATTCTCTGCAGCAAATTTTATGAAGCGGACAAATGGTCCTGTGCCTGTGACCTCGAGAAAAAGATAAAACTGGCCGTGGGTACTGGCGCAGAGCTGCTATAACCCCAGCACCGACGCAGGAGGCTGGAGCAGGAGGCTCGGGACTTCAGGCCGGCCCGTGCCACACGGTGAGTGTGAACTACACTGCTGTGACCCTGAAGGAGAGGGAGAAGATGGGTGAGGAGGGCAGAGGAGAAGGGAAGGAAGAGAGAAAGGGTAGAACACCAAACAGTCATGGACATACTACCCTCGAGAGAACTGCAGAGAAAGATCCAGCCCATGCAAGCGCAAGGGCCCGAGTTCAAGCCCCAGTTCCGCAAAAAAAAAAAAAAAAAAAAAGCCCTACATTGTATTTTTCTCCTTGCAGAAACTCCAAACAAGACGCAATCCCCAGGGAAAAAAAAAAAAAAAAAAAAAGCCCACAACCAGCAGGCCCCTGGGTACAATGCTGCCCGCCCCGCAATGAGATGTGCAGCAAACTCAGCCTGAGTATTCCCCCCACCATGGATTTATTTTTATGTATTTAGTACAGGATCTGCAGGGTCTCACTACACAGATCAGACTTGTAGTGCTCCTCCTGTTTCAGCCTCCCAAGCGCTGGGATTCCAAGCACGCACCACCACGCCCAGTCTCTCAACCTGAGTCGGGTGTGTGTGTGTGTGTGTGTGTGTGTGTGTGTGTGTGTATTTAGTACAGGATCTGCAGGGTCTCACTACACAGATCAGACTTGTAGTGATTCTCCTGTGTTCAGCCTCCCAAGTGCTGGACTACAGGTGTGTGCCACCATGTCCAGTTTCAATCGCCTTCTCAGCACACCCTGGGGTGGGGCCAGCACAGCACACCAGGGATTGAACCACTGCAGCTGCACTCTGCCTAAGCAGGCGCTTTAGTCCACTGAGCTATCTGGCCGACCCTCAACCTGAGTCTTAATGCCACATCTATAAAATGTAGCTGCCAGGCACCATTGTGCACACCAGTAGTCCCAGCTACTAGGGAGGCTGAGGCAGGAGGATGATTTGAGCCCAGGAGTCTGAGACCAGCTGGGGCAACATGATAAGACCCCATCTCAGGAAAGAGACAGAGAGAGCAAGCGAGAGAGAATAAGAAAGAGAGCACATGGTAATGGCAGTGTTATACCGAGGCCTAAACCCACGGAATATCCTAGCAGGATCATGGACGTGAAGGGCTTGGAGCTGTGTCCGGGCAGAGCGAGGGTGACGGAAGTGTTCACTGTAGTTACTCTCACCCTCCAACCTCATGCCCTCCCCACCACACCACATTGTTAGGCCCCAGCCACGGCACCCTTCGGACCCCACTGCCCACATGGGGTGCCCCAGCTTGGCAGGCCCTTCCTGTACCCAGTGCTCAGCTGCCCCTCACCCTGAGCGAGTCTGGAAGCCAGCACCAGCCACAGCCACAGCCGCAGCCAGATCAGCTGCCCCTTTCCCTCTTGCAACAGCCCCACATGTATCTGATGATTATGTCTGTTCCCCTCAGTGGCCCGGGCTTGGGGCACGGCTGCTCAAGGGGAGGGACTGCGTCAGGATCACTATCAATCCCCCAGGACCCCAAACAGCACCTGGCCCAGGGAGACCCAACCCCCAAACCCAAATTCTGGGCACAAATGTGCAGTTTCCTTGGCCAACACTCTGGGATTTTGTACCTCGCAAATAACGTGGGGCCCAGACACAGCTTTGCCAGGACCAGTCCCGTGACCCTGTTGACACTCACGCTGGCCTGGTACTTGGTCATCACTGTCAGCATGAGCTTGGCATAGGCCATGGATGTGGTGGCTGTCAGCCCCTCTTTACAGAGCTTCTCCATGAGGACACCGAACTTCCCAGGGGTCATCTCCACCTGCATGCAGGGGCAGATGGAGCAGCAGCATGAGAAAGGCCTGGCTCTTCAGTCAGCCAGCCCTGGACGCAGTTCCCTATCTCCTAGCTGGCTGAGCCTGACAGGGCACTTATCCAAGCGTTCTAGCAGTGTGGCTCTGGACTGTCCCAAAAGCCCATGTGCTGAAGGGTAGGCTCCCAGGCGGGAGGTGGGGCCCAGTGGAAGGGAGTTAGGCTATTGGCTGCATCCCCCTGAGGATGCTATTGGGGCCCAGTTTTGCTTCCTGGCTGCTCAATCCCCACTACTGATGGATGGATAGGTGACGGGATGGATAGGTCGATGGATTGCATGCAGGGATGGGTGGGTGGGTGGGTGGTTAGATGGTTAGGATGGGACAGATGGATGGATGGATGGATGGATGGATGGATGATGGGTAGATGGGATGGATGGATGGATGAACGGGATGGATAGGTAGGCAAACAGATGGACAAGATGGATGGATATGTAGGTAGACAGATGAATTGGATAGATGGGTGGAATGGATGGGTAGATAGATGCATAGGATGGACAGACGCATAGGTAGGTGGCAGGATGGGGGGATGGATGGGTGGATGAATGGGATGGGTGGATGGAGGGGTTGGTAGGTGGGAGGATAGGGGATAGATGGGTGGGTGGATAGGTTGGATGGATGGATGGATGGGTGGGTGGATAGGATGGATGGATGGATGGATAGATGGATGGATGGGCGGGCAGGCAGGCGGATGGGCGGGCAAACAGGCGGGTGGGAGGGCGGGCGGGCAGGCAGGCAGACAGACATGACATTGTGGTTTGGATCTGCAGTGCCCCCACCAAAATCTCACACCCCCATAGCAGAAGCAGAGCTTTTGGGAAGTGATGGCTCATGGGCGCTGTGCTCATCTGCAGATCAATTCCCTGTGAGCTCAGAGCTGAAGGTGTTGGGAGGCAGCCCTGGATGGAGGGGTCACAGCAGGTGGGGCCAGAAGCATCTGTCTCTCTCCCTGGCTCTTCCCTAGTCTCTCTCTGCTTCTTGGCTGCAACAACAGGAGCAGCTTTCCTCTTCCCAGTGCTTCCACCATGCCGTCCCTGCCTCAGGCCAGCCAACCACACATGGCCTGAGACTTCTGAAACCCTGAGCCCAAAGCTGTCTCTCCTTCTCTAAGTTGTGTGTGTCTCAGTGACCAGAAAGTGACTAAGATCTAAAGAGCTGTGTGAACACATGCATCTCTTACCCAGTCAAAAAGTTAAATGCACACACACATCAAAAAATCCTGCCACATGGAGCTGGGGAGATAGCTCAGTAGAATAAGCGCTTGCCTGGCAAGCACAAGGGCCTGAGTTCAATCTCCGGTTCCAGGAAAAAAAAAAACTCCTGCCACAAGGAACAGGCCGAGCTGCATGGACGTGTGTCTGTTCTTTGCTCCCAGCCTAGAAAGCTGTGAGGTCTCCCACTGTTGTGGGCCGCCTGCTGGAGGGCGGCTCTCCTGCCTGCCCTTTCATCACCAAAGACTGACACCCAGGAGCCCACATCATCCAGAGCCCTGCCCTTTCCTGTCTTCTCCTCTCCAAGGCAGCTGCTCACCTGCCGCTCCAGGAGTGCCTGCAATACCAGGAAAGTTTCCTCCCTCCAGGACAGCTCCAAGATCTGCCTACAAAACAGAGGACCCAGTAAGCCCAGGCTGGCCTCTCCGAGACCTCACACCCCGCCGCTACTCCTCATGGGGCAGGGGCTTGAGACACACAGCCAGCCCCACAGCACTGCAGAGATGGAACTGGGGAAGACTGCAGCCGTAGGCCAGGAAGGTGTGAGGCGGCACAAGGCAGGTGAGTGAGTGTGCCAGCCCAGTACAGGGACCCTTGCAGGCGCAGCGTCAAGACCTAGCTGGCTCCCACAGTGGCAGTGGCAGTGGCAGTGGCAGTGGCAGTGGGAGCCCGGCCTTGGGAGAAGATGGCGTGCAAGGCACAGGGCCACACACTCACCCCAGCATGAGGGCCCGAGCATCTGGCTCGAGGGACTCGTCCTTCATCAGGTGACACAGCAACTCTGTTTGTGCTGGGCCTGGGCAGGCACAGGGAAGAGATGCGGAGGGAAAGAAGGCCGGGCTGAGTCAAGGGTATGATCAGGACCGCAGCAGGCACTGCCCACTCAACACCCGATGCCACCAGGGCCGGGCCAGCGGCAGGTGCTGCGACGGGAGGAGTGCAGCAGAGCGAGGGGCTGGCGCCGGTTACCTGTGCCTGGGGCCTGGAGCACGGGGCCCAGCAGGGCGCTGCAGAAGGGGTAGGGGTGGCTGGCACAGAAGGAGGTCAGCGTGGCTCTGAGCAGCCGGGAGGCAGAGGAGGTCAGACAGAGGATCTGCGGCAATGACCGGAAACAGTAACTTGGTTCTCACCTCCATATCTTTTTGCTGCTCGGGGATTATACTCAGCTCTTTTATTTTTATATTTAAATTATTATTATTTGTGCGTGCACATGCCTCTGCAGATATGAGGTACAGGGAATTGTACTCCATATCTTCGCAATGAGCTACATCCCCAGCCCTTTCTTTTTTTTTTTTTAATTTTATTTATTTATTTTTGTGTGTGGCCAGCTCAGCCCACCAGGGGGCGGGGCTGGCTGGCATGTGGTGCTGGGGGATTGAACTGCAGTCCCTGTGCTTTGCTAAGCTTGTTCTAAGTAGGTGCTTTAGACCACTGAGCCATCTCACCAGCCCCTCGTTCTTTCTTTTTTTAAATTTTGAGGCAGTCTCATTAAGTTGCTAAATTCCCCATGCTGGCTTCACATTTTTATTTATTTATTTATTTATTTATTTATTTATTTATTTTTGGCAGAACCAGGGATTGAACTCAGACCCTGGTGCTTGCCAGGCAAGTGCTTATTCTACTGAGCCATCTCCCCAGCCCCTAGCTTCACATTTGTAATCCTCTTGCCTTGGCCTCCCTGCGTGCAAGGATTCCAGGCATGCCTCACTGCACCCAGCTTTCAATAAATGTTTATCAGACACAGCTTCCAGTCGATAATCTATGTTATGAAAGAAGAAGGAACCAAGTTCTTTGTAGACTCACATGTATGCACCCTGTGGAAAAGACACATAGTTCTCATCCCCAGCTCCCAAATCCTCAAAAGTTTCTCAGTCAGATCTTAGAAGGTTCTAAGGTTAAAAAAAAAAAAAGCCAGGGCTGAGGATATAGCTCAGTGACTTAAGTGTCTGCCTGGCAAGTGCAAGGTCCCAAGTGTGATCCCTGGTACCACCAAAAAAAAAAAAAAAAAAAAAAAAAAAGAGCCAATGGGTAGCTGGCCAGGGACCATATTCCACTTGGCCAGAGGCCTCTCTGCTGCCCCAGCGTTCCCAGACAGGTCACAAGGCCAGGATGCTGTCTCCCTTGCACCCCTCATGATGGCTCAGACCTGCCCAATTGTCCCCAGCACTTCCAGGGCCTCCCAGAATACCTACTCGTCCCAGAAAGAGGCTCCTGGCCAGAACAGTGGCATTGCTGATGCTGAGACCCGGGGACAGGGCCAGCAGCCAGGTGCAGAGCCGCAGGAGGCTGGCGTCAGAGAGCTGTGGGAGCTGCAGCTGGGCACAGAGCCGCTCCACCTGCCATGGTAGGGGGACATGCAAACGCCCAGTCTGGTTCTGCTAGGCTGGCACCAGCCAAGTGGTCGCAAGGGGCAAAGCAGGGCTGCTCCAGAACAAGGTAAGGCAAGAAAAACCGCCCTGCTCACCTGGGCAGGAAGCTGGGCTCAGAACTACCAGAATGACCCCTACCCCCCCCCCCAGACAGAAAGGATCAATTCTCTCCCCATTTCCCACAGGAAGCAGAGAAACACAAATGGGGAAAGGTGGAGAAAGGGACATCATGCCCTCAGGGCCAGGCAGGCTTTCCCAGTCTCACCTGGCAGGGACTGCATTCATGAAGAAGCTGCAACTCTGCTGGGGGAGTGTCTTCCAGCCCTTCCAATCCCTGGGGAGGCAAAGCCATGAAAGGCCTGGCAGACACCCTGGTAACAAGTCCCAGAGGACAACCCTTCCTTTGGCAAAGTGATTGAGATTCTAGAAGGTGCTAATGAGTGAGGGCCATGCCCAGGGCTGGCTGTGCCCCGGAAGCCCCACCCCCACCCCCACCCCCAGGCTGTGCTGGGGCCTCCCCAGGCAGGAGGTGGGGTTCCCGTGTATAGGCCAGGGCCTCTCACCTCCCCAAAGGTCTTCAACAGCTGCTGCAGCCTGGGCACCTGGTCCTGTGAGGGAAAAGCTAGTCACTGCCAAGGCCCTCCCCTGCACTGCAGCCCTGAGCTGTGTCCCAGTGTCGCTGGCAGTAGAGCAAGGGTGGAGATGACCAGAGCATGGCAAAAACACAGACTCCCATCTTGCAAAGGGCCTACGAATCCCACTGGACAGGGCTTTTGCATACTCTGCCCCAATAAGGCAGAGTTGCCCTGGGCAGGGAGCACGGGTGGTGCTGGCAGGACTGGCCTTTCCCCTCACCATACCCTTCAGCACCCCTCATTATAGATCACTGAGACAAAGGCTAGCACCTCCCACAGTTCCCTTCCCAACCACCTCAGTCATCACAACTGGGAAACTGTGCGGCCAGCCTTCCCCACAGATAAATTCCCCACTCCTAAATAGTGCTGCCAAATCCGGCTTGCCCACACTGCACCTGGAGGGCTCTGGGCAGCTCCACACTGGCAGCTGGGCCCTGTGTCTCCCCTGGACTCTGGAGAGCACTATAGGGCACAGTGACCACAGCAGGCTGGCTCTTCACAGGTGATGCTCCTCCTCCCTCCGCCAGGGGCTCCAAGGACCAGGCTTTGGGCCTCTCCTCCTCGCCGTCACCTTCCTCTTCTTCACCGTGCCCACCTCGGAACCTTTTGGGGTCCCTCTCTCCCTCAGGACTGGCAGTCACTTCCTCTGGTTTCTTGCGTTTTCCTCGATCCTGGGACTCTTCGCCCCCCTCCTCCCCGTCAGGGTCTGGAGCCTGGGGTGGTTTTAGCCTCCTGCCTCCTTGGCCCAGTCCCCTAAAGAGGCTCTGGAGCTGTTCCTGGCACCCTTTGGACAGCAAAGAGACTCCCCCCATGGAGCCCCTGGGCCCGAGGTCTCTTTGCAGCCATTTCCCTAGGGTCTGGAGCCAGGGATCAGAAAGAGAGCTGGAGTCCTGCTGGATGATCTGCAGCATAGCCAGGAGCTGGCTTTGAGGCAGCGAGGGCCAGATAGCCATCAGCAGGGACAGCAGGTTCTTCTGGCAGAAGTGGGGCAGGCGCAGCAGCAGCGGTCTCCTGGGGAGCAGAGGGAGAGCTAGCAGTCAGAGCATCTGCCACAGGGAGCTTGCATCCCAGGAGGCCAAGCAGATGGAGAAGGGACAGCCTGAGGGCCACTAACAAGCATTCACTGAACATCTATTATCACCTGGCCATGCTATCTGAAATGGACTTCTACTTCAGCTAAAAGAAAAAAATTCAGAGTTGGAACCTGTTCTCTAATAGGCGTATGCTTGTTTTATGTAATGAAAAAAGTCTATTCCCATAGTTTAGGCAAAAATAATGACCCAGGATACTATACACAATTTTAACACACAATTATCTGAGTGTACTTACACAGCAAGAAAACTCAATTATTTTTCTGAGACAGGGTCTCACTATGTAGTCCAGGATGTCCTGAACTCACTATGTAGTCCAGGCTAGCCTCAGCCTCTAGATTACAGGTGTGCACCACCACGCCAGGCTGCACTCCAGGTTTTTAGATGTAGAAGTATTCAGTCAGAGCCGATTTGGCGCCATTTACAATAATGCCCACGGCAGGCCCCTCCTTCCTTGCCCTGGGAAGATTTAACCTCTCTGGGCTCACTGGGTCTGGCTTCCTAAATGAAGGCACCGATGGGGACTTACAGCTCCAGGCGGCCGCCAGGGCACGACAGCACTGGCTCCTCCTGGCAGAGCGCCCCTAGAAGGCCTCCCCAGTCGAGGGGCTCCCGGTCGCGGCGGTCCAACGTCCGCAGCACCCCGAGGCCCCGCCGCACCCCGTCGGGCCCGGCCTGCAGCACCTGCAGCAGCAGGCGGGCCGGGGCCTCGAGGGGTGCCCACGGTACCTGCCCCGCGCCCTCAGCCCCAGGAGGCGCCGCCTGCGGGGTCGCCATGGAACTCCCGCGGAAAGTCTCGTTCCCGCCTAGAGAGGGCGAGAGGGGCGGGACCGGCGGGAGGAGGTGCGTCAGAGAGTCCGGAAGGGGCGTGACCAGGAGACACCCAATCAGAGAGTGAATGGGCGGGACCAGGGAGGGTCTTCACGAATCTGGGCGGGGCCAGAACGGAAGAAAGGTTGGTTTGTAGGTGGAGTCGGCCGCAGAGATTAGGCTTGTGGGCGGGGTCTGACGGAGGGAAGGAGGCGCTGCCAAGCCTCTTTCTCCCCGCTGCGGAAGCAGTAGGGCGGAGCGGGAGTTGGGGTCCCGCGTGCTAGGGCTCCAGACTGTAATTTTATTTGGGGATTGAACTCAGGCCTTTGCGCTTGCCAGGCATTACCCCGGCCCTAAACAGAGTGACAAGAAGCCTAGTAAAGGGCCTCAGCACGGTGGGAGCCCCAGCACTTGCTACAGATGAGCGCAGACAGGTCTCAGATCACCTGGCTTTCCCTCCTTAGGAATATTCTGAGCTTGAGCTGATTGGGTTTTTTTGCGGAACCAGGGATTGAACTCAGGCCCTTGCGCTTGCCAGGGAAGGGATTATTCTCCTGAGCCATCTCCCCGCCCCCTGTAGAATAATTTTAATGGAGCTCTTAGGGAAAACTCAGGAATATTTCTTAGTGTCTTAATTTTTTTATGTTAATTAAATATTTTGGTTTTTTATTAATTTTATTGAGAAAGAAATAACAATGAGACAGTTCCAAAACAGGTTAGTAGGACAGTTACAGTAATTAATACATTGGGGCTGGGGAGATAGCTCAGTTGAATAAGTGCTTGCCTGGTAAATGCAAGGGCCTGAGTTCAACCCCCGGCTCCACAAAAAATAAATATTAATACATTGCATAGTGTTGTCTTCGTAGTATTCAGAGTACAAGATGCAGACATGATGTCTTCTTTAAACACTATTCAAAACTTTCTTCTCATGAACTAAGAGAAAGTAGCTAATATCTATGCTTTTTTTTTTTTTTAGAGACAGGGAGTCACTATGTTGAGACTGTCTTGAACTCGATAGGTAACTAAGGCTGGCCTCAAACTCACCTTAATCCCCCCACACAAAAAAAAAAATGGCTGAGGAGATAGCTCAACAACATAAGCACCTGTCTGGTAACCTCAAAATATATAGATAGATAGATAGTTGATTGATTGATTGATTTAAAACACAAAAAAACAAAAACGGGCCAGAGAGATAGCTCAGTATAATAAGCACCTGCCTGGCAAGTGCAGGGTCCTGAGTTCAACCCCCAGTACTGAAAAAAAAAAAGTCACCTTGGTCTTCCTGCTTCAGCTTCCCAAGTAAGTGCTGAGATTACTCGTGTGTGCCATCATGCCCAGCCTTCCAGGCACTTCTTATTCCAGGTGAGCAGTTCTAACTTTGAAGAGGAGGTTGACCAGATGGTAGGGGCAGGGACTGGCAAGCAGCAACTGGGGCCATGTATGCCATAGAGGATGGAACTGCCCTGACAGCCTCAAATACATGATCACTAGGCTCCTGCTGGTACAAGCAGGTTTCTAGCTATCTGCAAGAACAGCAGGGATAGGGGCTGGGGAGATAGCTCAGTAGAATAAGCACTTGCCTGGCAAGCGCAAGGGCCTGAGTTTAATCCTTGGTTGAGGGAGGGGGAACAGCAGGGAGAGTCCTCAGTGGGTCACTGGGTAGGAGTGGGGTCTTGAGATCCTTTCCCAAACTCCATGAGGTCTTTACTGGTATGGTGGACAGACAACTGGTGGTCAACTCATTATGCCCAGCTGAACTGGCCCAGCATGGTGCTGGGTGGGGGAAGCCACCTGATGGTGGTTGCTGGTTGCATAAGAGGCAGAACTAGAGAGGAAGGATTTAGAAGCTATAGGGAGCTGTTCATTTTCCTGGAGGAGATTGTTGTGCTGGCTTTCCTGATGCACTCAGCTAGCTGTTCTTATTGTCAAAGAAGCTCAGGACCTTACTGTCACTGAGAATGGCTATGGTTCACTTCAGGGGAGCTCTAGTCCTCGCTTTGAACATCGCTTCCTGGCTCTGAAGAGGAAGATGGTACAGGGCTCAGTCTCCTGGAGAAGCTTGTCAAGTTGGCTTTGCTGATATAGATTTGACTGTCCTCATCGGGACCTATCTATTGCTGAGGATGGCTGTGGTACTTTTCAGGGGAGCTCTGGTCTTTGAATGTCACTTCCTGGCTCCAGTGCAGATCCCTCAGCCTGTTAGAACAGAGCCTTCATCCTGCTGGCGTAGATTTTCTGGCTTCCACCACTGATCTTTGGGCCATCCCGGTTCAGATCTGTGACACAGGTCTGCAGGAGACGTTTTTGTGGGCTCTAGGCCTCCAGCTGGACTCATTTTTTTTTTTAAATTTATTTATTTATTTGTGGGGGGGGGCAGCTCAGCCCACCAGGGGGCGGGGCCGGCTGGCATATGGTGCTGCGGAATTGAACCGCGGTCCCTCTGCTTTGCTAAGCTTGTTCCAAGTAGGTGCTTTAGACCACTGAGCCATCTCACCAGCCCTCCAGCTGGACTCATGCAAGATGTAGCTGTGAGATCCAGGCCCTCAGCTGGATTATTTTGGTCTATCATGTGTGGTGACTATTATAAAAATAATCTTGGGCTGGTGAGATGGCTCAGTGGTCTAAAGCACCTACTTGGAACAAGCTTAGCAAAGCACAGGGACCGCGGTTCAATCCCCCAGCACCACATGCCAGCCCCATCCCCAGGTGGGCTGAGCTGGCCACACACACACACACACACACACACACACACACACACACACAAATTTTTTTAAAAAATAATCTTACAATTAAGTGTCCTGTACTGTATTGTTTCTCCTCGTAAGCCCCTGACTACAACAGCTGGTGTTTGTGATGTTATTTGATGGACATTGTCACACAGATCTGTAATCCAGCACCCTGGGAGGCTGAGGCAGGAGGATCACCAGTTCAAGCCCACTCTAGATAGCTTAGTGACTGACTTTTGGTTTTTTGTTTGTTTTTTGTTTTTTGGGTTTTTTTTTTTTTTTTTTTTGGCAGAACCAGGGATTGAACTCAGGTCCTTGCGCTTGCCAGGCAAACACTTATTCTACTGAGCCATCTCGCCAGCCCCCGTGACTGACTTTTGTCTCAAACTAAAAAATTTAAAAAGGACTGAGCAGGTTGGGGAGGTAGCTCAGCAGTCTAAGCACCTGCTTGGTAAGCACAAAGACCTGGGTTTGATCCCTGGTACTGCATGCTGCGCCAGCCCCACTGATCCCTGCTACTGCATGCTGCGCCAGACCCACTGTGCTGGCCACCAAAACCATAATCCCAGTGCTGGGGAGGCTGAGGCAGGAAGATCACTATGAGTCCAAGCTGCATAGTACAACCCTGTACCAAATAAATAAATAAAAGTATTTTTTTAAAAAAATTTTTTTTCAAAAAGAAAGGCTGGGGGTCTGGCCAAATAGCTCAGTGGATTAAAGCGCCTGCTTAGGTAGATGGAGTGGCTGGCTGGGGTTCAATCCCCACTGTGGTGTGCCAGCCCCACCCCTGGGGTGTGCTGAGACAGTAATCGACACTGGGCGTGGTGGCACACTCCTATAATCCCAGCTCTTTGGGTGGCTGAACACAGACGGATCACTATGAGTCCGATCTACAAGAGAGACCTTGTAGACCCCTACTAAAAATAAGTAAATAAATTAAATAAATAAAGGACTGGGCTGTAGCTCAGGATGTAGGCTCCAGGTTTCATCCCTAGTGCTGCACACAAAGGTGTTTGCCCTCCCCACTGTCATCTTCTTAGCGTATCCAGTGAAGCTTTCCAGGCACCACATTACCAATATGGGGCCAGAGAAAGAACTCAGGGGCAAGCTTGCTCCCCAGTGCGAGGAGGGTAGGAGCTGACCACCCTGTAGACATCACAGCCTGTGGTAGGTACATTTTATTGGTTTCCTTTCCAAATCCTTCTATAAAATGAGCAAAGCTAAAAACCAAGGCCTGGCGTGCAGGAAGAGCCTCCTGTGAGAACTACCGCCCTCACGTCCCCAGCTTGGGTAGAGGACCTTCTGCTTTCTGCATCTCCAAACTGCAAGAGGAAGGCCTGCCACTGTGCGGAAGGCCAAGCTAGTAGGGTCTGCCAAGATCCGGCAGGAGCTCAGGGTCCCAGAGGACTACAGGATGGCGTGGGAAGGCTATGTCATCCGCTTGCCTGGTGGGCCCCAGGAATGACGCTGAGCCTGGCACCTGTAGGGAGAGAGAGGACCGGTTTCAGCCACAGGGTCCCAGGAACAGGGAACAGGAGGGGCTGCACACAGGACAGGAAATCCACCTTAGGTCCAGGGACCTTCTGCCCCCTCTACAGACGTCAGGTAGAGGCCCGCAGTCATCCTGATCATGTGTTACAAGCCCCCTGTCTGTTCCCACCTGGCTGCCTGGAAACTGTTGCACAATCTCAGGCCAAGGAGAAGCAGAGGCCAGCGCCGGCTCCGGTGGCTGGTACAGGTAGAGGCAGCAGTCGGATCTGAAGGGGCAATGGCCATTCCCCTGTGTGAAGAACCGGTACTCCGTCTGGCTAGGAGAGGGCAGAGGGAGAGAGGTGCTCAAAGTTGATCCCTAAAGTTAGGCAGCTTGTACACAACAGGAAAGCACCCCTCTAAGCCTGCACCACAGATCATTGTGTAGATCGGGCTTTGGTGATTCCAGCAGATTCCAGCAGAGGGCAGTGAAGTGACTTACAGCTCCCTTTCTCTAATTCCGTCTCAGGGACCAACAGGGGGCCCCAAGAACCTCCTTATCTTCAAAAAAGTTAGAGTAGCAGTACCAAAGTAGGGGGGATCAGAGGTAGACCAGCCTCAGGTGCATCTCAGCAATCAAGTTAAAAGTTGGGCATAGTGGTCCATGCCTGCAACCCCAGCACTCAGGAGGCTGAGGCAGGAGTGCTGTGCATTTGAGGCCAGCCTGGGCTCCACGGTGAGTTCAGGCCACCTGAGCTAGTGAGACCACCATCTCAAAAACAAGCCCCCTCTCCCCAGAAAGCAAGTTAGGGTAGTGTCTGGGCTGCAGGGTGGACTTAAGACGTGGTAGCTGCTGGCTAGGGATTATCGTGCTGCCCGCTGAGATTTGCGTTTTACTCTGAAAGGCCAAGTTCAGGACAAAGTTGTAAACAATCTAGTCTGCTTCAGTAAGACCAGCTTTTTTTTTTTTTTTTTTTTTTTTTTTTTAGTACAGGGTCTACAGGGTCTCACTACGTAGATTGGACTCGTAGTGATCCTCCAGTTCTCAGCCTCCCAAGTGCTGGGATTACAGGTGTGCAGCACCACACCCCTGGGGCCAGGGATAGAAGCCCCACCCCACCCCCCATGTCTGCCTAAGCAGGTGCTTTAATCAGCTGAGCTATCTAGTCAGTCCTTAACTTTATTATTTATTGATCTTTTTTTTTTTTTTTTGAGACACCATCTCACTATGTAGCTCAGACTGGCTCCAACCCAGGATCCTCCTGCCTCAGCCTCCCAAAGTGCTAGTATGACAGGTTTGTATCACTTTGCCTGGTTGAGAACAGTTTTCTCCTGGCACAAAAAGAACCAAGTGAGAAGAAGGCAGAGCGCGTGCTGGCAGGCTTTTCCTAGCCTTCTCCCTCGCTGCTCACCCGCAGAACGCAGCTGAACCCTTCCTGAGACCTGGCGCGGACCCAGGGCCCCACCAAGCACCTAGGTGGGAGCCTGGAAGTCTCTGCATACAACTGTCCCTTTCTGCTATCATCTGACCCGCGACCACCTCTATGTGGAAGGCTCCGTGCAGACTGTCTCAGCATCCAGCCCTCAACCGGCCCCTTCATAGCAGCATCAACCCTGTGCTGGAGACATAATAATCTTCCATTGTCACTTAGTCACCCAGGCCTGGCCTCTCAGTGAACCCCTTCATGCTGGAACCTGCTGTGAACCCTAAGCCAGGCCTCCCGTGCCCCTCTCCTCCCAAACCCAGCTCCAGTTGCCCCCTGCTCGCCTTTCCTCAGTGGTTGCCCTTGTAAGGGTTCCAGACCCATCTGCAGGGTGAGGCTGACTTCCCCAGGAAGAGGCCAGACCATTTCTAGATCCCACCTGTATCCTAACTCAACATATGTCAGCTGTCATAATCCCTGGGAAGAGGCAGGCCTGGTGGCGCATGCCTGTCATCCCAGCATTCTGGGAGGCTGAGGCAGGTAGATGGCATGTCAGAGCCCAGCCTGAGGAATTCAACACTTAGTTTTGTTTTTGCAAGATCCTGTCTCAGAATAAAAGATAAAAAGGACTGGGGATGTAGCACAGTATGAAGGCCCTGGGTTCAAACCACAGTACTGGAGAAGGAAGGGAGGAAGGGAGGGAGGAGGGAAGGAGGGAGGAAGGAAGGGAAGATGGGTGGAAAGCCAGGCAGGTCTGTCCTGGTCCCTGGAGAACCAAGTTACCAAGTGGCCCTGCAGTGTGTGATCTGAGCCGGGTTAGAAAAGACCCTACTGGCTCCCCTGAGGAACTCCGCTTGCTGCCTCCTGCAAGGGGTCTGTCGGTGCCGTCCCTCCCCAGGCCAGCAGCCCGGAGCCTTCCCCACCTGCTCTGCCAGCCTCACCTGGTCTGAGCCTTGAAGGTCTGGATGAGCTGCTCCTTCTTGGGCCCCTCGGTCACCCAAAACTTGTGGGGGATGATGTAGCTGGAATAGTTGTGGCACTGGGGACAGCCCCTGCAGGGGGTGGGATAAAGGCCAGGATGGTCACAATCCCTCAGGCCACCTGCCCCGTGACCCACACCTCATGGGGGCGGGGGCTTCCCAGAGACTGGCACTGACTTGGTGACCTCCTGCGGCAGGCCTGGGGTCTGGCGCCAGGCGCGGAGGCAGCCCAGGCAGTGGGCATGGCTACAGTTGGGCAGGATTCCGAAGATCCTCTTGGTCTCAGGCTTGTCCAACACTCTGTCCCCGCAGATGTCGCACACCACGTCCCAACTGTCCAGCTGACCCTGCAGCTACAGGAAGTCTCAGACACTCTCCTGCCACTGCCCTGAACCCAGCCAGGGTCCCCACGGGCTACCCTTCCTGGAAGTCCCGGTGCAGCCCTCTGCCACCCAGGTCTGGTACCTCTGCTACATTCAGGCTCTGTAGGACGCCCGAGACCTGGGCGTCACTGGGATCCCTGGCAGCAACTGTGAGGGGAAACTGGAGTCATCACTCTTAAGTGGCATGTTGCTCTGAATTTTAAGCCTCCCCCATGAGCATTTTTTGTTGTTGTTGTTTTGGGAAGAGTAAACAGGGTGTTCAGGGTCTCACTACTAGATCAGACTTGTAGTGATCCGCTTGTTTACAGCCTCCCGAGAGCTGGGATTACAGGTGTGTGCCACCATGCCAGTCCCAATTGCCAACTCAGCGTGCCCTAGGGGCGGGGCCGGTAGGAAGGATTTGGGATGGAACCGGCCCCTGAGCCTGCAGGCGCTTTAATCCTCTGAGCTGTTGGGCCAGCCCCCACATGAGCATTTAGACCTGTGCTGTGGAATACCATCACCAGCATCTGGATGTGGCTTCTGCTTCTTCTTCTTCTTTTTTTTTTTTTTAATACTGGAGACTGAATGCAGGTCCTTTGCACTGAACTACATTCCCAGCCCCCCCACACCCCCTTATTTTTTTGAGACAGGGTCTCACTAAGTTACTAAAGTTGCCTAGGCTGGGCTCAAACTTGGGATCCTCCTGCTTCAGCCTTCCAGTGTTGAGATCACAGATGTGTGCCACCACACCCTTTTATAGATGAGGCACCAGAGCTGCAGAGTGGTTAAGTGCCTAGGCAGAGAAAACAGCTCCCATTCGAAACCAGGTACTTTGGCTCCACAGGCACTGTGGGATTTTCCTTCTCAAACACAAGACAACAAAGAGAGGGGAAAATGTCCCTGCTGAGACCATGAGGAGGGGAAGAGTGGGAGGGAAATTAGAGGCCTGCTCCCCTCCATATGCATGTGCCCCCATGCTGTGCCCCTGGGACTCACATGACACAATCAGGGCCCTTTGGGAACTGCCAGGAGCCTCCTCCAGGCCCAGCTCTGAGAGGGTCCCGAGCCGGCCCCAGGCCCAGTCCACAGGCAGCGAGGGCAGGAAGCTGGGCTCTGAGGCCCTGCGGGTCAGGTGCAGCCAGGGTTCCTGCATGGTGCGAATGCCGGGGGCCTGGAGGGCACCAGGTGCTGATAGCTGCCAGGGATGGAAGAGCAAGGGGACAGATGATGTCCTCCCCTCATGCCCTGTGCCCTCCTGCCCAGAGGAGGGGGCTTACCTGCATCTGTCTTCATGGAAACAGAAGCCAGCAGACCCTGTCAGGTGCAAAAAGGCCACTCGGCCACCCAGTGATGGACCCTGAAGACCAAGTTCCTAAGAGATGGCCAGAGTCAGGCCCAGCCCCATTTCAGTGTCTGCTTTTGTTCCTTTCTTTTCTTTTCCCTTCTTTTCTAGATTTTTTTTTCTTTCTGTATTTAGGGAAGGGCCTACAGAGTGTTCAGTGTGTAACTACTAGATGGGACTCACAGTGAGTCTCCTGTTTACAGCCTCCCATGTGCTGGGATTACAGGTTTGCGCCACCACACCCAGTCTCATTCGCTGTCTCAGCACGTCCTGGGGACAGGGCCAGCATGGAAGGCTGGGGGATCAAATCTCTGGCCCCTGCACCTGCTTGCAGGTACTTTAATTTGCTAAGCTATTTGGCCGGCCTTGGTTTTCTAGATTTTGGGAGGTGGGGGGATTTTTTTTTTTTTTTTTTTCCTGTGCTGGAGGTTGAGTCCAGACCATTTGCACTGAGCCACAACCCTAACTCTTTTAAAAAGCTTTTTATTTACAGATAGGGTATTGCTAAATTGTCCAGGCTGGGGCAGGGGAGATGGCTCAGTATAAGTGCTTCTCTGGCAAGCACAAGGGCCTGAGTTCAATCCCAGGTTCTGCCAAAAAATAAAAATAAAACAAATAAAATAAATTGTCCAGGCTAGGCTCAAACTTGCTATTCTCCTGCCTCAGCTTCTCAGAGTGCTGGGGTTACAGGTGTGTGTGCCATCATGCCCAGCTTGGGCCATATTTTAAAACATCAAAATTAATGCAAAAAAGAAAAAAAAAACCTATGGTGAACAAAATACTGACCTTTTAAATAAAGACGCCAATCCTGCAGGACATCTTGCTTGCCTCACCTGGTCCTGCAGCAAGAACACAAATAACCAAGATGGAGACAGGCGGAAACAGGGATTCATGGGAATGAACAAGCGCTGAGACCTAGCGCAGGTGCCCTCCATCTGCGCAGTGATGGGCTCATTAGCAGCCATTGCCTCATTGGGATTGGGGATGCTGGATTCTGGGAGTTTCTCAGGCCAAGGTCTGACCCCGGGGTGGCAGGACAGAGGTTGGAGGTCACAGCTGGCCTGGGAAGTGGCAGCCAGGAGTGGCTGGAGCCAGACAGCAGTGATCCTGGGGAGAGCCCTGAGCCGGATATGGACGGAAGAGGAAGAACTGGGTCAGGCCTGAAACCGGCCTCTGAACTTTTACAACTGGAGCCCAGACAGCCTGGGCTGACGCTGCCCTGGCCCTGTGCCGTAAGGAACAACTGAAAATCTCCTTAGTAGATATCCTTTTTTCTGGAGGTGGGGTGGGATGGGGGAACCCTTTGTTACTACCTGGCTGCCCTTCCTCCCAGGCTCGGTGAGCGGCTTCACCCGAGCTCCTCAGTTCCACAGTATCTCTCCTTCCCCCAACTTTGCTTCCCTTGGCAGAACTGATCACCTCCAGCTTTTGCCAAAATAATTGGTGCCAAGGTAGGAATGTCTGAGGCTCAGGGAGCCGGCATGCCCTGGTACAGAGCTCCTGTAGACAAAGGAATAACTCTTGAAGTTATTTGCCATGCAAACATTTGTGAGTACCTGGCTGCAGGTGCTAAGTGCCATGGTTACAAGGGTGACAGAGAGAAGATCGCCCTCATGGAGCTCTTTGTGTCTCTAGGTAGAGTAACCCTTGCAAGATGGAAGAGCGAGAAGGGGAGCAGGGAGCCCCTATAAGTAGCAAGGCTGGCACAGCCTGGTCCTTCAGCAACCTCAGGTGCTGACTCCTGTGGACCATCAGGGCACAGGGCATTTCTATGGCCTTCTGATATTGCAGTGAGGAGCAAAGACATGGGGACTTCCCTGCAGTGTTTGCCTGAAACTAGACCCCTACCCGGTTGGCTGCTGGAGAGGGGGCCTGCTCATCCACTGTGGCCGCTGCCATTTGCCCCTGCGGGATTCATTCCAGCTGCAGCCACTGGAGAGAGCAGCCCCTGGCGTCCCGCTCCTTTATCCACCCTCCACAGCAGGGCCAGGCCCAAACAGGGAAAGAGGAGGCCTGGAAGCTGGGAAGCTCCAGTGGCAAGGAACAATGTGGTCACTGGAGATGGGTCCTTCTGGAGTGGTGGTCCTGGGCCATGCGCTTCCCTGGCAGTGGAAGGCTGGGCTGTCCAGGGGCACAGGGCACCCCCCTACCCATGAGGCTGCTTCTGCTGCGAGGAGGCCCTGTGAGACAAGCTCTCTGCAGCCCATTCCAGGTAAACAATGAGAAGCCTGCTTATCTGATGGAGCTGTCTGAGGTCTGGGAGTGAGATGAGCTCATGGCCCAGGCTCGCTGGCTCCAGGCCTGACGTGCAGCTCAGCACGGGAGCCTGGGCCTGAGCCAGGAGACCTGATGGGGCCTGGGACAGTGTCCTACCCCGCCCTCAGTCCTATATGTGTCTGTGGCCATGGGCCAGTTAGGAAGGACCATGACCTTTAAGGCCCTTCTAGCTGTTTTTTTTTTTTTTTCTTTCAGGCACTGGAAATTGAATTCAACACGTTTTTACTGAACTACATCTCCTGTCCATTTTTAATTTTATTTTGAGACTGGACTTCATTAAGTCACTAAATTGCGTAGAAAATCTGATACTCCTGCCTCAGCCTCTCATTCGATACAAGGTCTTATAATGTAGCCCAGGCTGCCCAAGAACTTTTTTTTTGGGGGGGTGGGGCAGAACGGGATTGAACTCAAGCCCTTGTGCTTGCCAGACAAGCGCTTATTCTATTGAGCTATCTCCCCTTACGTGTGTGTGTGTGTTTTTTTTTTTTTTTTTTTTGGTACTGAGGATTGAACTCAAGATCCTGTGCTTGCCAGGCAAGCGTTCTATTGAGCTATCTCCCCAGGCCCTGCCCTAAAATTCATCATCCTGCCTCAGCCTCCCAGGCATCTGAGATTGCAGGTATGTACCACTGTACCCAGATTTTTTAAATTTATTTTTGCGAACTGGGGATTGAACTCAGGCCCTTGTGCTTGACAGGAAAGCGCTTATTCTACTGAGCCATCTCCCTGGCCTTTAAATTTTTCTTTTTTTTGCGGAACCAGGGATTGAAGTCAGGCCCTGGCACTTATTCTACTGAGCTATCTCCCCAGCCCTCCCAGATTTTATTTCTGAGACTGTTGGTCTCTTACTCTGGACTCTCCAGGAGACTGTGCTGCCCTGTGTAGGAGGCAAGCAGGGAAACAGGAATTCACTTACACTGAAAGGGAAGTTTTAAGGTTGAATTTTAACAGCTTCCATTGAAACACTTGACTGGGAACATTTTTGTTACATATTTTACTTCTGCTGGATCCAATTCTTCTAAAGTTTTGATTCACTTTACATGTGCATTTATATAAAAGTGTATATATCTTTTAAAGGTACTAAGAGTTGAACACGGGGTTTGATGCATGATAGGCAAGCACTATACTGTGTCCTCAGCCTTTTTTTTTTTTTTTTTGAGACAAGGTTTCTAAGTTGCCTAGATTGTCCTTAAACTTGTGGCCCTCCTGCCTCAGCCTCCTGGAGCTAGGATTACAGGTAAAAGGGCACTATGTCAGATTTATGGTTTTTTTTTTTTAAGTTTTATATTTTATTAAGATAATTTCATGTGTTTTCCCCATTTAGGCTTTTTTTTTTTTTTTTTTTTTAATTTTATTCATTTCTGTGTGTGTATGTGACCGGCTCAGCCCACCAGGGGGCAGGGCTGGCTGGCATGTGGTGCTGGGGATTGAACCGTGGTCCTTGTGCTTTAGCTGAGCTTGTTCTAAGTAGGTGCTTTAGACCACTGAGCCATCTCACCAGCCCAAGATTTATGTTTTAAAATAATAAAAAAACACTTATTTCCTATGCAACAGTTAATCATTACATGGTGTGTGTGTGTGTGGGGGGGTGTTCCGGGCTCTAGTTTCCCAGAACTTGGTTTTCTGTTTCTTTCTCCTGTGCAGCTGGGATGGAACCCAGGGCCCAGAGCTTGCTAGGCAAGCACTGTACATGGCTACGCCTCAGACCTGGACTTGCTCATGTTGGCAATCTCGTGGGAATTCTGCACTGCCTACTTACGGTCCAGGAAGCTTTTGTATGTGCTTCAGCCAGGTTTCCTGGGGAGATTAACCAGCCCAGAAACCTGGCTCGCTCGCTCTTTCTTTCTTTCTTTCTTTCTTTCTTTCTTTCTTTCTTTCTTTCTTTCTTTCTTTTAATGTATTTTTGCTACAGGGTCTCACTACATAGATCAGACTCATAGTGATTCTTCTGTTTTCAGCTTCCCAAGTGCTGGGATTACAGGCGCGCGCCACCATACCCAGTCTCAGTCACTGTCACTGTCTCAGTGTGCCCCAGGGGCAAGGCTGGCATGGCAGGTCTGGGGATTGAACTCCTGGCCTCTGCGTCTGCCTAAGCAGGCGCTTTAATCCACTGAGCTATTTGGCCAGCCCTCTTCTAATTTTCTTAAGGTTGCTTCCCCCCCTCAGTTTAAATGTTGGATTCAATTTATCCTGAGCATCATTAAAAAGAGACCAGGGACAAAAAAACTTTGGTCCTGAGAGAAAAGCACAGGTCTCAAGGCTGGGGACAGAACAGGCTCCCGCTAGCCCTCGAAACTCCCTCCTCTCCTGGCGACACCTGGAACACAGGTGATTGTGCCTGTCAGGCTGTGCTATCCACTAGAGGGAGGCAGGGAGAACACGTGTGCACAACAGCTCCTAAACACAGAGCAGAGGTGACCTTGACGCAGGGGTGGAGCGACAGGATGCTACCTATGCCTTTGAAGCACGGGAAGTCAGGTGACCGCAGTCTCAGGTCCACCTCCAGAGATGCATTCGTAGAGCAGTCTTACCTGCTCAGGAGGTAAGTGGAGACACACACTCTGATTATTTTTCCTCCCACTTGATGGAAAAGACAGAGAGGCGAGAAAATTAAACAAGTAGCTCCGTGATACAGCGCATGCTTAGCTTTCCCAAGGCCCGGGGTTCCCTCACTTCAGCTACCAAAACAAGAAACTGGGAAACTGGAACCAAGTTCACAGACACTCCTTGTGACCTGCTATGTCAACTTCATGGGATCAAGGACTGCCTAGCAGATTAGTACAATGTGCTCTGGGTAGTCACAGAGTATGACCTTGGATACTACACATGGCCCCTCACCTCCTCTGTGGCACTCTTCCCTCCTGGCCACTCTGCACCGAGCAGCTTTGCTCCCCCACGCCCTTCTGCCACGATCTTCCTGCTTTGGGGCCAGTCACCCACGGACTGATCTGAAACCATGGGCCACGTTAGCCACTTCCTCCTCTCATCGTGGGCGTCAGGTGATACATCTCAGTGCCAGAAAACTAGCTGATTACCCTCGTCCCAAGCCTTCCATTTCTTCCTCCCTTTTTCTTTCCCTTCTGTTCCCTGGGGCTGGCACTCTCCTGGCTGTGACAGACCCACGGGACCTGACAGTTCAGAACACTCTGCCAGCTGTCAGCGCAGTGAACAGGGAGGTCAGTGTCATTCATGTTCATCACTTCCACGTGAGCTGGCTGCTGATGGGATTGATTTTAGTGTTGATTTTGACATCCACCCTTTCTCATGCTCCTCTATGCTGCAGGGGCTGGAAATCTGCAAACTACACAGCCTCCCTCCTAAGGTTTTTTCTTTTTTTTTCCGTAACTGGAGATTGAACTCAGGCCCTTGCGCTTGCCAGGGAAGTGCTTCTTCTACTGAACCATCCTCCCCTCCTTTTCTCTTTTTGGTGGAACCACAGATTGAACTCAGGCCCTTGTGCTTGCCAGGCAAACACTTACTCTACTGAGCTACCTTCCCTGCCCGGAGGGTTTTTCAATCAGAGATGAAGTGGCAGACAAGAAGGCAGGAAGCCTGGAATGCTGGTGGCACTCCTGGCAGGGGCAGCTGCATGGGCTCTTGGCCTCCTCCCTCAGTGACAAGCCCCCAGGGACAGCGGCTGTGGCGGCTGCGGAGCTCCGGCAGCCCCAGCTGTATGGCGTGCATGAACTCTCCAGCAGCTGCTTCTCAAGCAGGTCCGCAGGTGGCTTGGGCCAGAGTTCTGCAGTGGCAGGGCACTGTCTCACCCTGGTAGCCGCTGGATGATCCATGTTCCACTCAGCTCTAGGGGTGAGACTGGCTTTCTTCAGGTACTCCTGTCTGGAGGACCTCAATTTTTACCTTTGATCTTTTAGTCCTTTCCATTCTTTGTAACAGTTCCTGGGGTAGATTCCCTATTTGGCAATGTTTAGCGGCCTTTGTCCTCCTGCCTGGATGCGCAGGTGGGCTGCAAATGTGTGCCATGGATGCACTGGCTTGGTGCTACTGGCAGGAGGTGGGAACTCGAGGTGAGGCCTTGCGGGAGGTCTTTAGGTCATTGGGAGTGGAGCCACCAAGGGAATTATGGGACCCTTTTGTTTTTTCTAGCACTGGGATTGAACCTCAGGCCCTCACACCCTTCTTTTCTTGAGATGAGGGCTCGCTAAATTGACCAGTCTGGGCTCACACCTGTGATACTCCTGCTTTTGCCTCTCGGAGCTCTGGTATTACAAGCTGCACCCTTTATTTTTTGTTTAACTGTCCAGGCTAGGCTCAAACTTGCTCTCTTGGTAGAACAGACCTTGTCTTTTTCTTTGCTTCCTGGTGAGTGATTTTGTTCTACCACACACTGCTCCACTGACCTTTTGCCACTGGCCAGAGCAACAAGGCCGGATGACCACAAAGTGAAACTTTCAGCACTGCTGGCCGAAACACACCTATCAGCTTTCCTGGGTATTTGTTACGGTGCTGGAAAGCTGACGAGCACACACACTCATTGATCTCGCCTCAGCCACAGCCAGACGTGCTGGCTGCCAAGGGCTGGCTCGACTGTAGGCTCCATGCCAATGGCCCTGCAGTAGTGGAGAAAGATGCTGTTGGCTGAGGACGGGAAAGCCGTCTCTCTTGGGCCCGTGGAGGGCTGGCCTGGGTTTTCAAGTCTCACGTGGCACTCAGGGCCGCGGGCTCACTGTCCACGCCCCCAGGGCCTTCCATGGCCCTCAGACCTGCCTCTTTCTTTCTAGATGGTGCTCTTCACAGGGTCGCAACCTTTCCCACTTCCTGTCCTCTGCTTGGCCAGACGGCAGCTTAACTGTTCTCCACACCTGTGACAAATGGGGGCCTAACAGCTACCACAGCTGCCTGAACCCCAGAGCTTTTGCCCCTGTGGCTGTGGAGGAGGAAGACAATGAATCCTTCAGCCCAGAAAAACACACAAATGGCAGTTGGCCTCAAGTCAGCTCTTAAATACTTAATTCCCATTTATTTAAAGTTTAAAGTTCTGTCAGTCTGTGTACACTATTTATATTAAAAACACAGGAAGTTGGGCTCCTAGCAAAAATATACATTTCAGTATTGGAGATTGCAGAGATACTGAGGTCCAAGGCCCTCAGCAAGACGGAGCGGGGGCGGGCGTGGGCACTGCCCTCCTTCACAGCTTTGGCGCAGAGGGTGGCGCCCCAGCACGAAGTTGGCTGGGCCAGTACAGGAGTGCACAGGTGAGGATCTTCTAGTAGATGGGCCCAGGGACACAAGTGTCCACCAGGCTGGCAGGGGCAGAGGCAGGCCCCTTCCTCCCCTCCCAAAGGCCCTTGGGAAGGACTAGGCAGAGCACAGGAAGCCCAGGTTCAAATCCTGGCCTTACCTAGTCCCTCACCTCTACGGCCTGGCAGACCCTCTCGCTGATCCTGCACCCAGCCCCGGCCTCAGTCCCTCCTCTGAGGTGCCTGCACTTCCACCAGGGACTGAAGTGGCTGGCCTCAGCCACAGGACCAGTCTGAGCAGGTCCCAGAGGCTGCTCAGGGACAGTTTCCAGAGATCAGCTCACCGTCTGTCGAGCAAACAGGGCAGCGTGCCCCTGGCAGCTCCTTCTGGGTGGACACCTTGCCCACTTGGACCTGCCTGGCCTGGGGACAGAGGCTGCCTGGCACGTACCTCTCAGGGAGAGGGAGAGGGAGGCACAGAAATGTGGGTAAAGTGATCGCAGTGCAGTACAGGATGTGCGCTGGGGCAGCAGCTCTGTAAGTGTTGGGTGGGGCTGGGCCCAGCACCTCCTGCTGGCAAAAGGGGCAAATGTCAGGCCAGGCACTGGGGGCTGACGGCGGGGAGTGGGTGGTGATGAAGGCCTGCCCCAGGACTCAGAATTAAATGTACTGTTCCTTGCAACCAGCCTCCACCTCCCTGCTTAGTGGGGTACAGGGCCCTACTTGTAGAGAACCCTGGTTCCATCCAGGCTAGGGGTGCAGCTGGTGCAGGAGCCACTAGCCATGTTGGTCTAGAAAACTGGTGCACAGAAAGGAAGGTTGTGGGGTACAGGAGCTGGGAGGGGCTCGAGTCTGGGTCCAGCCTCGGTCTCCAGCAGGAGGCAGTGTGGGGAACACATCTGGGTCCCGGCCAGGTGCCCTGCCCACAGTCCTCTGCAGCTGGGACCCAGGGATCACAGGCTGCTGCGGCTCAGTCTAGGCTAAGCTTCTGAAGAAGCCTTGCCCAGAAAGCTTAGTGTTTCTTTGGAGGGCTCCAGGATTCAGACTGCTACAGGAGGCGGAACCTGAAGCCAGGGGGCAGGGCCTAGGGGTGTGGCCTGGAGGGAGGGGGCGGGGCCACTCCTCGGAGAGAAAGGTGGGAGAGGGTCCTAATCTAGGCTGTTGGTGAGAGAACACAGACTGTCTCGGACAGGAGAGAGGTAGGGGCGAAGAGAGCAAGAAGGGAAACAGGTGCAGAGGGAAGAGGGAGCAGGCAAGACCAGAAATGACAGACACAAAGGGAAGGTGGAAGAGCAAAGCACGGGGGAAAAGGGGACAGGGGAGCCAGGGCTCGTGTGTCCAGACTCCTGGGGCCTGCAGAGGCCTGGGCGCAGGCTCAGTACATGTCCTTGTAGATCTCCTGCAGTAGTGGGTGCAGCAAAGTCTCAGTCTCGGTCTTCTTGAGCCACTGCATCATCTGGGCATGCTCAGTGACCAGCTGCCGCAGGTCGGCCATCTTCTGCAGCAGCTTGGGGAAGAGGTACTGGGTGTCGGGGTGGTTGACCTGCAGGTGGAACTCGAGGGCGCGCAGGATGGTGTCCTGGATGGCCTCCACCTGAGGCACATTCATGAGGCCCGGCCGGTCTATGGGGACAGGGACGCGCAGGGTCTCATCCAGGGCCACCTGGCCTGGGACAGACCTGAACCCTGCCTGTCAGCGACAGTGCTGCCGAGTTGCGGCCTCAGCCCCTCTTTCATATCCTGCCTAATCAGGGAGAGTAGTAGGCACCATGTTTAAGAGTCCATGTGTGCCTAGGTTCTAATCCTGCCTCTCCCAAAGACTGCCCAGAAGGCCTGAGTAGGTTATCTGCTCTCTGTGGGCTTCAGTCTAATCTGTAGAACTGGAGTAAAATAAAAGAACCTCCAACTGGGGGTTGCTGAACACCAAATGAGCTATGATTATGAAAAGGACTAGAACAGCGTATGGCACGAGGTGAGCTCTATGTCAGTGCTGATGAGCAGGCTCCTTACTAGGTTGGAATCCAAAAAGCGGAGGTGAAACAGGTATGTCCACCACCCTAAATAACCCCATAAACACGATGGCTACTTTTTTATTTTCTTTTATTTGTGTGTGTGTGTGTGTGTGTGTGTGTGTGTGTGTGTGTGGCCAGCTCAGCCCACCAGGGGGCGGGCTGGCTGGCATGTGGTGCTGGGGGACTGAACCGCAGTCCCTGTAGCTTTGCTAAGCTTGTTCTAAATAGGTGCTTTAGACCACTGAGCCATCTCACCAGCCCCATACTTTTTTCTATCTCTTCTCTACCTCCATCTGTATAATGAGACAGAGCCAATCCTGTGCAGCAGTGTGGGGTGACAGATACGTCCCCACACTGACTGAGCTCAGGCCTGGTGCCCTGGGGGTGGCCTGACCCTTGAGACCCCTGCGGTCCACCTGCCCCAGCCTCACTCACCTCCGCACAGAATGATGGCTGCAATGAACAGAGCCAGGTCACTGTCGTCGAGTTCCAGGGCATTGAACTTGACAGCAAACTCAAACTTGGGCTCAATGATATCAATGAAGGGCTTGCGCAGGCTGCGCAAGAACTCGTGGGTGACAAAGCCACTGCCATTGGCCACCAGCAGCCCATCTTTGTTGACAATGGAGGCCAGCATGGCAAAGATGGCCTCGTGCACACCATACTTGAGCAGGGTCACCTGGTCGTTGAGGAAGAGGCTGCTGAAGTTGGGGATGTTCTTGGCGAACTCGGTGAGCTCACGCACGGTCTCCACCGTGGTGCACTGGCAGCGGTAGAACACGTGCACACTGATCTCCTTGTAGGGCGGCAGGCCGCTCACCAGCTGCTTCCACACCAGGCCCCTCTCTGCCTGCCACAGTGTCTCGATGTCATGGATCACAAAGGGCTGAAAACCAGGTCCCATCAGAGGCCAGGCCTCGCGGCTTCCCACCCCCACCCCACCCCCGCTCCCACATCCCTGCCTGCTCAGTGGAGCCGGGGCTGCCGAGGTGCCGGCTGGGCAGTGACACTCACCGCCGTGTGGCTGGACTTGCCAGTGAGGATGCTGCGGGCCTTCTTTTTGGTCATATTGAAGTTTTTCAGGTAGGCGCTATAGATGTGTTTGGAGAAGGCCTTCAGGTCAGCCAGCTGCGGGTTGTGTGGGTGCCCCTCGTTGGCTGTCAGGCCTGCCACCAGCTTCCTCTTCTCAGCCTCCGGCATCCGGCCAAAGCGGATGGCTGCACAGAGGGGTGGGGGACAGTGACCAAGGGGCCAGGCAGGAGGTAGTACTCCCACCTTCCAGTCCCTCCTTAGGTACACATGTCAAGGATGGAGACCTAGTTGTTTTTGTTTTTTTTTTAAATTTGGTATAGGGTCTATAGGGTGTATAGGGTCTCACTACACAGCTCCAACTCGTAGTGATGCTCCTGTTTTCAGCCTCCTAAGCACTGGGATTACAAGCGCAGGCCACCATGCCCAGGCTTAGTTGCCCCTCTCAGTGTGCCCTGGGGCAGAGTCGGCACAGCACACTGGGGACTGAACCCTGGCCTCTGTGCTCTGCCTAAGCAGATGCTTTAGTCTGCTGAGCTATCTGGCCAGGCTGGAGACCTAGTTTTGTTCCCTCAGAGACTCCAGAGTAAGGAGGGCAGCACTGTTCCCACCCCACTGCAAGACCTCAGCCCCGGGAGGGCGGGGCTCTGTCTTCCTCACAGGGTCTTCACTTGTCAAGTGACTGGGTCCCCTGGCTGGCGTGGCACAGCATGGTACCTCCCAGGCAGCATCGCTTTGGGTGCGTTGTTTCACCTTCTTCTTTTGTCAGGAAATGTGAGCTGGCAGCTTAAATCTTACTGGGTCATTGGCACAATTAAATGGGTATATTTCCTGGAGCTCCAGCTACTCGAAAGGCTGAGGTGGGAGGATCACGTGAACCCCGGAGTTCAAGGACAACCCGGGCAACAATCTCCAAAAGAATGCAGGATACGAATCTGACTTTTGTTTACGGAAAAACTGAGGAAAGGATCCAGTCAGCCTGAGTCTTCCTAGGAACCCCCTAAGCCTCCAAGGCAATGGGGGCCAGGCAGATACAGACTCGTGGCGAAAGGTCAACCCCTATGTCTGCCTGAGTCCAGGAAAAGCCACAGATGGGATGTGGGCCCCACCACGGCTACCATGCAAGACAACTGGTGCACTGCAGGCAAGGGGTCCCTGCCGCTGACCAACATGGAGACATGTAAACAAGAGGCTCGCACAGAGGGGCTGGGTGGCCATTACCCATCCTGCCCTACGCTGTACAGAAGGCCCGGGTGGAGCATGGACAGGGAAAGCTCAGCCTTCTGGGAGTGCCAGGCTCCTCGCAGCTCACATGTATGTCATTTACTGGCTCCTGCCCACCTTCAGACCCTGTAGCTTTGGTGCCTTATCAGGTCCCCTGAGACCGGCTGAGTTCCAGGAGCCGTGTCCCCAACACTTCACAGAGGTGGCCACAGATGCAGAGAAGTGACTGCATATGCCTGGCACCCATGGTGGACACTGGCGGTCTGGGGAAGTGGCAGGTCTTGGTGCCCAGATCCCAGGTGCAGGTGGGCAGCGTCTGCAAGTGACACTCCCTCAGTGCCAGGCTGCTCCCCAGCGCCCCCCGCCGTGCTCTCACCATTGTGCGACATGCCCAGGGCAAGGCATTTCTGGAAGCGGCAGTACTGGCACTTGTTGCGGTTCTTCTTTTGGATCTTGCAGTTCCGATCGCACTTCTCATACTCCAGCTTCATACGGATGGTCCGGCGGAAGAAGCCCTGTAGGGCCCAGAGCGGTGAGCGGCTGCCGGGAGGGGGCGCTAAGGAGCCGGCTCCACCAGCCGGCTGCACCGAGGCGCCCACACGCACCAGCCTAAGAACTAGTGACACGGAGTGAAACGGGCAAGTACTTTGGAAGGAAAAAGAAGAAAACAAACCCTAAGCCTTTTTAATTTTTTGATGGCACTGGGGTTGAATCCATCGGCACTCCACTATTGAGCGACATCTCTGGCCCTTTTTATTTTGAGACAGGGTCTAGCTAACTTACCTAGGCTGGGTTCAAACTTGTGACCTTCCTCATTCAGTTTCCCTCAGTGCTGGAACTGCAGGTGTGCACCACCACACCCAGCTCACAGATTGTTTTATTTTTATTTATTTTTTAAAGTATTTGTTTTATTTTTTATTTTTTAAAGAGGCCAACAGTTCTTTGAACTTTTTTTTTTAATTTTATTTATGTGTGTGGCCAGCTCAGCCCACCAGGGGGCAGGGCTGGCTGGCATGTGGTGCTGGGGGATTGAACTGCAGTCCCTGTGCTTTGCTAAGCTTGTTCTAAGTAGGTGCTTTAGATCACTGAGCCATCTCACCAGCCCCTCACAGATTGTTTTACTAAACCACCATTTATGAAATACAGAACCAGATGCATTTAAGAACACATCAAGTTAGTCACAAAACAATTTCATGTTACCAGACTAACAAGTTTTAAGACTTCTTTGGGCATGGAAAGTAAATGTGGTGTCTAATTTTAATCATTTGAAGAATTTAGGATGCAGTGGTTCACACCTCCAATTCCAGCACTGAGGCAGGAGGACTGTAAATTCAACACCTGCCAAAGTGGCTTACTGAGACCCTGTCTCCAAATTATAGATAGATGACAGGTAGATAGACAGGTAATAGATAGGCAGGTAGGCAGGTAGGACTGGGAGTGTAGCTCATTCCTGAACATAGTCAGTGCCCCTGGGTTCCAGCCCAGTACATTAAAAAAAAAAGGGGCGGGGGGAGATTTTTGAATTATTTTTTCTTTTTGGTGGATTGACAACAATTTGAGAACTTTGAGTTCTACTTAATTTCTTCTATAAGATTTGTGAAATTTTCACATTATGCAGTTAGGAGGAAACACTGGAAAAAAAAGTGTAATGTACTGTTTTTGTGTTTTTTTACCCAAAAGGCCTTCAGACACAGGAAACTCTGACCTTAGGAAGACTGGACCCTAAAGCCCTTCTCCTTTCCTGCCTGCCTTCTGAAGTCTGGTCCCCACCTAGGGGGGTCCAGTACTGCCCAGCAGGCCAGGCCAGCAAGGAAGCCTGTTCTTTTCCGCAGGGTCCAGGGCTTTGGCCTGGGATGGGCCCAGCGAAATTCCACAGTGGGTATCGTTGACCCTGGCCTGCGGCAGAGGACGCTCTATGGCTGGTCAGCTCCCTCATGACCACAGCCGGGCAGGCCCCACTGTCCGTACCTTGCAGCCCTCACATGCGTGGACACCATAGTGGAAGCCAGACGCCTTGTCCCCACACACCCGGCATTCCATGTTGAGGCTGCCGCCTGAGGCCCCGTCACAGCCCATCTGCAGCTGGTCCAGCAGCGAGGGTGGTGAGGCTCCTTGAGGGAGGTCTGTGGACACACGACAGGAGAGCTTCATACTCTGCCAGCCAGGAAGCACCCTCACTGTGGGCCTAGGCACTCCACCATGTGGCAGAGAACTTTTCCGAGGACCCATTTCCTCATCTCCAGCATCTGACAGGGAAACATGGCTCTGGGTAGCCTTCCTGCACTAGCCTCACTGGAGGACAGGGAGTGGGCATGGCCAAGCTTTGGTTGGGGGCCGAGGGAGGCAGTCTCTAACTAGGAGGCCCTTGGAAAGCCACTGTCCCTCCTGCTTTCGAGGCTGTCCGCATGGTTGGTGTGGCATGTTCTGTGGAATCTGCAGAAGTACAAGGCTCTACAAAGCCATCTGTCCTGCTTCCGAAGCTCCCTGTGTAGAAGCCACAGATGCCACTGTGGGTTCCTCCAGAACCTCATAATCACAGCCCCCAAACTCTGAAGTGGGAACAAAGAGCACAGCGATCCGTCACAGTGACCCGTGAGGTACTGTCTGTCTGAGTTTTCCTACCCAAGGCGCAGCTGTTTGAACCATGGTGTTGGGAAGGAAGGCAGGTGGTGTGGCTGCAGCTTTGGGGCAAGTGTGTGTCACATGACTTCAGGACATTGTGCATCTCCCCTGAAACGCCCCATGAAATTCTGGGGACCTCACTGGATCTTGGCCTGTAGAGCCTGCTCAGTCACACCATGGAGTTCAGGTGTCTGGACACCCCCTCTGCCATACTGGCCTAGTGCCTGCTCCCTCATGGGACAGTGGAACAATTTTCTCAGAGGCAGAGCCAAGTGCCTGACTAGGAACCAGCGGCTCAAACAGGGTCACCTGAAAGAGCCCCCAGAGAGGCATCCTGTCCACCTTCTCCTCTCTGGAGACTAGGGGACCCATCCTGGCCACAGCAGCTAATCAAACAGCACAGGCCCCAAAGGAGGGGCCCAGCAGGCTGCTCCCCTCCTGGGTGATAAGGTTAAGGGGTGACACAAACTCTATATGGCCTGTCCCATTCCAGTGCCTTTGCTCTCCCATCTTTATTCTCCCACCAGATCCCAGATGGGGACATCAGGCCCCTCCATCCCTCAGGCAAAGCAGGTGTGGTTTTCTCAGGAGCCTTTGTCACTATCTGACAGAGTCCACCCATGTTTGTTTGTGGCTGGGTGCCACCCACTAGATGTCAGGGACACAAAGGCAGGGAACTGCCATGCAGGTGCTGGACGAAGGGCAGCCTGGGAGTCTGTGCAGGTCCTGGCCTCAGCAGTACCAGCTGGGACCTGCTGCCCCTGGAGGCTTTAGGACGGGGACAATAGCACTCACAGTAGCTGTGTGGGAAAGTGAGAGAACATGCCACAAAAGCCCTTTGTGGAGGCTGTGCAGATGCTGACACTGCCCCCTGGACCTGGGTGCCCTGTGTGTACTGCTGTGGATGCCCGTCCCTCACACACTCCCTTTGAACCCAGGAACCCAGCCCCACCCAAACCGAAGCACCACAGATGAGTCACATCTCTCTCCAGTCCTTCCTCCTCCTCCCCGTGGCCCAGGTGGCCCTGCACAAGGCAATGCCCTCCTTTTCCATTTACCAACAGACACAGGCATCTGCAGAGCACCTGCTGGGGGCAGGGCAGGACAGGACCAGACCTTGTCCTCAGCCAGCTGAGCGAGGAAACCCGCAAGGGGGAGGGCAGGGGCAGCTGTATGGTGTGGGGGCAGCAGGGCAGGTGACTGCTTTCCTCATGGGGTAGAGGTGAGGACCCTAGACGATCCCCAGCTGACTTCCAGGTGCTCGGGACGGGTGGGCAGAGTTGGTGTGAAGTGTTCAGGGGCCGCGAGGCCCAAGCTCAAAGCCCTTCTGCAGCACGTTCCAGCAAATGGTCCTGAGGTCAAGGCCAAGCGTCCTGGGCTCAGGTCCCTGCTCAGCCCCAGAGCCTCAGTTTCCATTTCTGCAAAGTGCAGGTGAGAACACACTTGGAGAGTCCTGGTGATAAGATCATCCAGAGAAGGCTCCTGGAGCAGGGTGTGCTGCATATCCTAAGTACCAGCTATTCTGAGAGAGCCTGGATCTCCCCCATGCTGGACCACGCCCCCCAAGTCAGGAGAGCCCCGGGGCACCGCTGCTTTCCCCTCCCTTCCTGCCTGCAGTGCTGATGGTTAGAAGAGCTCTAAGCCTACATCATACAAACCTTGCTGTCCACTGGCAATACCCAGGGCTGAACTGTGAGGAGACCTGGAGAATGAGGGTCCTAGAAGGTCCCCACTGGGAATCAGCACTAAGCAGACAGTGAGGGGGGTCTGAGGGTCCCATTCTATTCTACGTGTCCATTATGTGAACTGACATAATAACTGGGGAGCAGTAAGGGTTGGTCCCCAAATCATCTCATCCTCCCCAAAGCACTGAGGGCAGAATCTAGGGACCAGGTTCTGAGGGCCCCTATATTCTATGCCTCTTGGTCAGAACTAGGGTGGGCAGGGCTGTCTGGGATTCTGAGAGGGCCTCATCAGCAGGGGAGCCCCTGCCTGCAGCCTGGGGCTGGCCTGGAAGAGAGCTGGGTTCCCACGCATACACATCTGCTCCTGTCACCTGGCCAGGCCCGGTTCCTTGCTGGAGTGTGTTCTCCAAAGGCCCAGGTTGAGTACTCGGTCCCCACACTGTGGTGACAGTAGAACTCTTAGGAGTGGGGCCAAGTGGGGAGAGATCAAGTCACTGGGCATGGCCCTGCCTCTCTTCCTCCTCTCTGCTGAGAAGCTCTCTCTACCATGAACCCTCTGCGGGATGTGCTGTCACAGGAACAAAAGCATTGGCCTAGTGACGGTAGTCTGGGGCCTCCCAAATTGTGAGCCAAACAAACCTTTTTTCTTCTAAACTTCATTGTCTTGAGTATTTTGTCACAGTGATGGAAAGCTAACAGCCCTCCCACTATGCTCCCTCCAGCCTCCCCTCAGCTTCCTGCTGGGCGTTCTGTGTCTTCTTGAGACATCCTGCCAGGCCTGCACCCTGAACTCCCTGTCATCGGGGTCTGACCTCCCCAGCAGGGGAAGGATAAAAGCCCCCATTTGTCAGGCCTCTAAGCACCAAGCCTGGCACTATCTGTCACCTGCCTCACTGCGTGGGCTGGAAGCTAAACTTGACTTACCTGTGGAAGCCGTGTGTTTACCAAAATAGTACCATGTTACGGCGGGCCTGTGTGCCAGGCGCTCTACTGAGTATAACACACCTGTTCAACCCCCAGAAAAACCTCAAAATAACCCTTCAGGGGGGCTCCTCACCCCTTCTTTACAGGTAGGCAAACGGGTTCGGAAGGTCAAGTAACACCCTGGCGGAGGCTGTGATGGTTCTGTGTGTCCATCTGGCTGAGCTGGGGTACCCAGTTTTTGGTTCAAGCATCAGCCCTGCTACTACCTACACCTGGGTTCTCACTGTAATGTTGTCACTGTAAACAACAGGGCTGCTGAGGACAATACCAGGTCATCCCCTGATGTTTGCACTCTGCCAACAGCAGCCAGCCACTTAACAGGAAAATATCAGTTTCACCATCTTTGATTACACATTCGGCAAACAGACACTGTTGACCTTATTCCCACACATTAAGTGTGGCTGAGCTCTCCTGCACACCCAGGCTGCGTGTGGGAGACACACTGTTGTTGCAGCCTCGAGGGCCGCTGGAAGGGGCCAGCCTTCAGTTTACTCTGCTGGCAGGGCCCACAGGCAAAGCGGCACCTGTTAGCTCCCAAAGTCAGGGTGAATTCTGCAGGACTCGAGGGGGGTACTGAGGAGCCCCTTACCTCTGCTGCCCCATCTGCTGGGACCGTGAGTGCCCTGGGGCAGGTACTCAGCCCTGTCCCCCATGGCCCCACTGGCCTGACAGGGTGCCTGGCCCTGCCTGAACACCTCCAGGGATTTGCTGAGTAAGAGGGGTGCCAGCTGGGGGACCTGGGATAAGTAAGCTCCTGGCAGCCTCAGTTTCCTCACTGCAAGCCTGTCCTGCCTGCCTCACGGGCTGAGGGTGCTTCGCAGATGCTGAGCTCAATGCTGGGATGTAGGGTAGGTGCAGAATGGAAGGCAGTTAGGTTAAAACCAGCAGTGCAGCTGTCTACTATTTTATAGATCCCCCCCCCCCTCCGCCACCATTACATTTAAAAGCTAAATCTCCAGCACTTTAAAAAGAAACTGAGACAGGGTTTTGTTGAATAGCCCAGGCTGGGCTCAAACTTGCAATCTTCCCGCCTCAGCTTCCTAGTGTTGGGATGACAGGTGTGCACCACATCTGGCTTGTTTGGGGTTCTCCACAAACCCCTCAGGGACGCAGGCCAATGTCACAGGCTTCTGGGGGGCAGAAGAGGGAGCTAGCAACGCCGAGACCTGCAGCAGGTCAGATACATCACTTCCTATCACCTTGCCGGGCCTTTAATGGGGAGGAGACTGAGACGGGAAGGACAAGGCAGCAGGAAGGGCCACAGCTCACAGGGGGAACCAGGCTTCCTGGCTGGTCTGTGTGGTCTCAAAGCCCTGGCACCCTTGACAAAGAAAGAGGCCCTACATCACCAGGATCCCTCACCCGCCAGCTCCCTTCTACAAATGCTGGACAATTTATTTTAACCTTGGAAGGAAAGTAGCACAAGTGCATTATCAGCGAGGAAAGCAGTGTGGGCTTGCTGAGAAAGGTACACAGCATCTTGTGATAGGGCCTCCTTCACACCCTGCTCCCGGTGAGCCCCGCCACCTCGGTCTGCCCTCTTCTACAGCCTGCTGTTATGCCCGGGGATTGTTTTTTCTTTTTTGTGGTATGGGGAATTGAACTCTGGACCTTGCGCTTGCCAGGCAGGCACTTATTCCGCCGAGTATTCCCCAGCCCTACCCACGGTTTCTTATGCAAGAGACTCCCTCACTTCCAGAACTTAGCCCCTGCATGTGCGTCCACACCTACCTTGTCCCTTCTAGTGGCCACAGGGCATCCTGGATGGCACTTGTGTAGCCTCCCAGCCAGTTCCCCACGGGAGGCAGGCACTGTCCCCTTTCTGCTCTCATGAGCAGCGCTATAGTAAACACACTGCTGGGGACACTTCTGTGTTTACACAAGATGCCTCCCTACAGGGCACTATCTGGCCACCCTTCAGGGCTGTGGGCCAGTCCTCATCCCCTGGCCGGCGCTGACCACGGTCCCCTCCAGTGTGGCAGCTAAGTGGCACCTTTTCTTTCTTTCTTTCTTTCTTTCTTTCTTTCTTTCTTTCTTTCTTTCTTTCTTTTTTTTTTTTTGCGGTACCGGGGATTGAACTCAGGACCCTGCGCTTGCCAGGGAAGCGCTTATTCCACTGAGCCACCTCTCCGGCCCCCAAGACACTTCTCTGACCCGTGGTGGGACTAAAACGTTTGGTTTTCCAGCCACTTGTTGGACTAGGCTTGTCTGCTGATTTTCTGTGAGGTGGCCTGCCCTGCAGAGTCTGTGGGAGCGCTGTATGCGTTGTGGCTGTAACCCAGTAACAATGTGAAAGTCTTCCGACCTCCACTCCTCTCCTCTGCTCAGAGGAGCCCACGAATTATCGACACATGGACAGCACCATGGAGTGGCTGGGCAGAGCCTGCTGCAGACATTTCCCTGGACCTGAGTCCCACCCGCAGAGCTGCCATCGCCACACCTGCCTCGCTGACTTGGGCATGTGTGTGGTCCCAGCAAGGGGTGTGTGGGAAACCAAGGACAGGACACAGCCATCTGCCCGCCCACATACAGGGCCCAGATGGGCCAGGGCAGGGACTGAGGTCACAAATCTGTGCCCTGCTCTTCCTCTCTCGCTCTCCCGACACCCTGGCTCACGGTCAGTTCCAGTGTCGTCCCTGAATTCCAGCCCAATGTTCACAAGGGCACAAGCTAGTACCTGGTGAAGTCTCACTCCTGGGGAGCTGCTTCTTTCTCTCTTCTGAGGAAGATGTCCCCAAACCATCCAGCCACCAGCTGACAAACCACATGGACTACTTGGGGATAGGGGTGCTGTCTATGGCCCCATCACATCATGCCACTGCTGGTGCTGGAGCGGGGTCCAGAGCAGAGGACTGACGGACAGCTCTCCCTTCACCCCAGCCGAGCTTTGCAGGTCAAGGAGCATAGCTCAAGGAAGCAGCTTCTCGGGCTGGGAACCAGCAGGAGTCTGGACTCTATCTCTGCTGCCCGACCCACCTTACCTCGCACCAGCTTGAGTGTCTGCACACAGCTGTCCTTGCTGGGCAGACTGTTTAGTTCAAAGAGCAGCAAGATAGGGTGATAAGGGGGTCCCCTCCCACAGGCCCGGAGCTCCTTGAAGGAGGGGAGTGAGAATCAGTGGGCTGTGCACATCCTACCCAGGAGAGGAGAGGCTGACAGAGAGAGGGACAGGGCACGAGCAGCTAGGATAGTGGTGGGTGGGGCTCAGGGGGTCCCTGAAGGTGGACGCGGCTGACGGTGACGATGCAGTGCCGGAGCAGCCTGGGAAGATCGGTTGCATGAGCTGCCCAGAAGTAAACAGAGGAGAGCCAACAAGCAGGACATGGGAAGCTGAACTGTTCGGCTGCTAGGAACATTAATTACGGCTGGCCCTTCTCGATGCTTAGCACTTAGGTCTAACCACCATGTGGGCAACTCTGCCCACTATAATTAGCACCAGATCAACAGACTCGTGTTTCCACTGATCATAACAATCGCAGGTACAGTGGAGCCTTCCAGGCAGGCATGGTTGAAGCAGACTGGCCTCAGATGCTGGGTGGCCTCAGTGGTGGGATAATGACAATGACAGTGACAAGGATACACATTACCCATGCCTCTTGCTTAGTTCTTACAAACCCAGGTCCACATGGCTGATCTGGGTTCATCTGCTTTCCAGAAAGAAGGGGCAGAGTCTGCACCAGGGCCTGCAGCTCTGGTGCACGGTGGGGTGGGGGCGGGAGCCCAAGGCAGGCTGCCTGGCTCCGGTTCTGCTCTGCACTGCATGATGTGTTGCCCCTCCTCACCTGCATAGCTGCTGGAGGGAAGTACATGCTCTGGTCCCCCGTGGAGCTCTGGGGCTCGTTCGGCCTCTGCCACTTCCTCTTTCTCCTCTTCCCGGACCTCAGGGGTCTCCTCCTGCGGCTGCTCCATGGCTGATCTCCCCTCGGTACCACGCCTGCAGGCCTGGTCATAGCTCTGGCATCATCTGGGTCTGCGCACAGAGGGACCTCTACAGGGCAGTTCCTGTCAGCCTGGGCAGATGGGAGACAAAAAGATGTTAGAGGGGCCGGGGTGATAGCTCAGTGGAATAAGTGCTTCCCTGGCAAGCACAAGGGCCTGAGTTCAATCCCTGGTTCCGCAAAAAAAAAAAAAAAGGAAGAAAGAAAAAAAAAAAGATGTTAGAGGAGGCGGTGCCAAATTGCACGTGATGGGAGTGGGAGAGCAGAGAGAGACATCCCTGATCAGCCCCAGGTTCAAGTGCCAGTGAGTGGGCAGACAGATATGGATCCCTAAAGGAGGAAGAAGGGGAGAAAGAAGAGGTTATCACCATTAGGGAAGCAGCTCTCTCCAGCTCCTTCTTAGGCCCCAAGGTGCCATCTCATGCTCCCCACTCCTGCATCAAAGTCACCTTTCCTACTGCCCTGTCCTCCTGCCTCCTTCAGGAGGTTGGTGGGGTTAACAGCAGGGGCCATTAATCAGCCTGGGTGACCCCTGGACCACCATTCCAACCTCCACTGTAGCATCCTGCTCTTCTAGTGTTTGGAGCCTGTCAGAAAGAATCAGGGTTTCCCAACCCTCCAGCCTCCCTGGTGATTTGTATAAGTGCCTCCCTCAATACCCACGCTGACCCCAGACTCAGGCTACAAATCCCTGCTCTCCTAGGCTGCTGCTCCTGAGGGGCAGGTCCCATCCTTTCTCTGCCGGGGTATGGAGGAAAGATGCATTCCTGCTGCGTCTGGCTCCTGCACACAGCAGACCTGCGGCCTGACCCTGGCTGGGGAGGTTGGCTCATGGCAGTGACCTGTGTCCTCCTTACCTAGAGGAGGCAGCAGCTGTCAGTGAGTAAAGTCCTGTCCACCAATGCTGCAGGCGGAGGTGCAGATTAGAAGGCCCCGTGGGAGGGACTCTTCCTCCCAACAGGACGCAGCAGGGACTGACCCACAGCCATGCCGCCTTGTGCAGGGGCAGGAGAGGGAAGGATCTGCTTTAGGGAGACTCACATCCATGGGACCCTCTCCTTCCCCCGCTTCCTCCTTCAGGGATCCATATCTATCTGCCCACTCACTGGCACTTGGACCTGGGACTGGTCAGGGATGTCTCTCTCTGGCTACATTCTAGGCTCGCCAACTTGGCTGTTCACTGGAATCACAGAGGCATTTTTAAGAATATGAATGTCGGGGCCAGGGAGATGGCTCACTAGAATAAGTACTTCTCTGGCAAGTGTATGGGCCTGAGTTCAATCCCTGGTTTCGCAAAAGAGAGAGAGAGAGAGACAGACAGAGAGAGAGAGAGAGAGAGAGAGAGAGAGAGAGAGAGAGAGAATATGAATGTCTAGCTAGGTATGGTGGCGCAGACCTGGAATCCCAGCTCTCTGGGAAGCTGAGGCAGGAAAATGGAAAGTTAGAGCCCAGCCTGAGCAACTTAGTAAATTAGAAAGACCCTGTCTCATAAATAAATAAATAGGGATGTAGCTCAGTGCGAAGGCGGAGGGTTCCATCTCTAATACTGGGGGGAGTCACTTGGGGGGGGGCTGAGATTTTAGGGTTTTGTACTGGGGCTCGAACTCAGGACCTTACACTTGTCAGGCAGGTGCTTATGCTGCTGAGCTGTCTCTTTAGATTTTAATCTTGTGGTGACTGTAAGGTGCAGCCAAGCTCCAGAACCACTGCTCTGAAGCACAGCAGCGCCGTCCAGTAGCAAGCGGCTCCCTCCAACACCTGCCCCTTGCTGGGACCCCAACGACCTCCTCCCAGTTCTCCACAGACAGCCCTCCTCCCAGTTCTCCACAGACAGCTCGGGTACTCGGCCTCCACTCTAAGTGGCTTGGGGGCGGGGTCTGCACGTGTGGGAAGCACCTTGTTGATGTGACAGCCACAGGAAGTGGGAGGTCCTCAAGGAAGAGAGCAGCGTGTCAGGGGAGAAAAAGGAAGACACGCCTCAGCGTTGGTGCAGAGGCAGCAGAGCCCTGGAACGGCTGAGCTGTTCAGGGGACGGGTGAAGGGCCAACTAGTGACACATGACTGGTGACTGTGAGGTTAGCAGAGGCCCTGAGTCAAGTTTTGGCCCTTCAGTCCTTAGGGGACCTGGGCTTACAAGAGTAGGCAGAGGGGGGCCTGGCCCTAGCTCAGTCCTTTAAGTGGCTGCTTCCACAAAGCTGTCAGCCTCAGGTTGCTGGAGTTCGAACCTCACAACTCTC